ACCTATCTTTCGTTATATATTTTTGAGCTCCGATCAATCGATGTCTGTACTCATATAAAAATAATTTATGAAAAGGTGTTGACACTTTTACGTAAGTACACGAGTGCGTGGGATTTCAGAGAAAAATAGAAAGGAGATCCACGGGAAAATATACCTTACAACAACTGGATACAGACGGTTTTTACTCAAATTTACTCGAATAAATTGATCACTACTGATTTCGTAGAATGTAGCGCAAATCATTAAAAAAGAAATTTTCATGCACGTAACAATAAGGGATAACGTTGAAAGCAGGAAACAAGGTATTGAAATATGACGGTATTTGCAATTAAAAGGACAAAGGAAGAATCTATACAATTTTGACATGACGGGGATACAGAACGTGAGTGCTTTTATACTTCCTTTAGGACTTCCGCCTTAATTTTAAAGCACATGACAAGCCTGAACTTAATACAGTCTTCTTTATTCTGAATTTGGTAGACATTTGTGTTGATTAAAGTACGGAACCGATAGATGGCACTGCTTGCTATACATTTTTAGGACCTAAGGTATAACTAGCAAGTTCTGTCCAAACAGATAGCCCAAAACGGGATCTTCTTGTCGCGTAACTTAACCTCAGAATCCAAAATTATCAGGAAAAGGAGCCCTGATAAATCAAGTTAGAACTAAATGTAGATAGACCTTAGTTTTCAACTTGTTAAAGTTGTATTTAAGTTAAAAACGCAAACTTTAAAAAAAAACCTTGCGCTATGAAAGAGTTGTCTAGAGTTGTTGACTTACTAATTATTCACTCAGGCAAAGCTCGTTAAAACTCTTACATTTGATTCTTTATTTTTTCATTTACTTCCAGCTCTAACTGGATGATACGGATAAGATCAATGAATGTTTAATATCTGGGATTGCCAGACTGACCACGTGACACCAATGTAGGTAGATACAAATAGACAAGAATTTGTTTCACTACAAAAATATGTGTGCGTATTATAAGGGCGCAATTTTATTGGTTGATAACTCGATATACAGCAGGGAGTCCCCGCACACGGGCTAAGGACTAATGAAAATAATCGGTTGATGTAAAGCAAAAATCGCGGGGAATTGGTTGACTGTTGAAATCGATTTATGCATGCGAATGCTATGTGCATACATCTAAAATCTCCTGCACCAGACATGCTAATGACCAATGAAACTGCGCCTTAATATCTGTTTTTATTCATTGTCTTGTTTTACCAGAATCATAATAAACCTAAAACATATAAGTAACCCAGTAACCTTTTCAGCAAATCTGAAATAACATCTTACATCGGGGCAATATAAATGTTGTGTTCAACTAGTGTAAGCACGCGTAATAAATTTTCACGGTACGCAAATCTCCTCTAATTAATTATCCACAACTCCCGCGTACCAGTACGTAACCCACTTGTACAAAAACCGGCTGACAAATAGAAAAAAACATTTTTTTTAAACGCAATAGAAGTGCCTACTTGGTCGTTTTAATTAAAAGTCGAATGGCAAATTTCTGGAATGCTTCAGTATTATTGTTTTTCAATTTAATTAAAACTTTGCCACTAATAATGATAGTTTGATTAAAAAATATTCTAAATTAATATAACAAGTAGATATTCTATTAGCGTTTATATTAAAATTATATTTAGTACTCACCTTGTATGTGTATGGGAAAGTTTTAATTCAAAATTTGTGTGTATTTTGTAGCCGGGAGCGTTTTGGCGCGCTTTTCTCTGTTTTGACGGGAGCGTGATGCACGAGCTATGTTCGCGGGTGCACTGCCGCGCCCGCCGCGCCCTCGCCGACTCCTGCCGGCGTCGCCCAGCCACCTGCGGAGCCTCTACCTACCAATACCACTGCTGCTCTATTTCAATAAACGATTTTATTACATTTATAGATTATGTTTGTATTCGAATAGTCTCAGAACGGCAAATTTTAACCACGATGCCAAATTCTGATACATATTTTAGCAAGTAAAGTGCAAATATGTCCCAATTGTACGTGCTATGTGCATTTGCCGGGCTATTTATTGTCTTGTACAACTATATGCGCGAATATGACAAATGAAATCGTGGTTTAGAGCATTTTTGTTTTCGAAATATGTTTAAATTAAATCCCATATTTTTTTTATTCCTTATAGCTTATATTTATTTAATGTAAATGAAATTGACGTGTAGGGATGTGAATATTTACAAAGTACGGACACGGTCGCTTCGCTACTTCGGCGAATTAAGTTGGCCGCTCGCTTATTTACCTTATGATATAGAATGTTAGTATTAATAAAGGTGATACTTTAGCAATTTCAAACAACATATATGTTAATTTGTACATCGGATACGATACAATGTATAATGGACAATACAATATCGATAGTTTGTAATGTGACACCTGAAACTGAGCCAAATTACAGACGGCAGATAGCTTCACAATTTACTGCCACGGGCCGAAGCTGACAAGAATATGCAAACTACTGCATAAACACTATCGATTTGTGTTTCCGTCCATATTATAGCCAACCCAATATTTTACTTAAAATAGCTTAAAACTGAGAAATAATAGTACTTCTTGGTAATATTATAAATTCGAATGTTTGAATGGATAGACGGATTGATGGATGTTTGTGACGGCTCAACGGATTTCGCTGAAAGTTTGCATAGATGTAGAACGTAGTCTGGAAGAAATCATAGACACAGGAGCGACGGCTAGTTTGTCATACATACATCCATACATTTATAAGTAGGTAACTATGTAAGGTAAAACATGTAATTCAAAAAAATTTCGTATCGATTAAAATGTGTGTTTTTTTTTTATCACAATTGGAATCTTTTAAAATTCTTGAATCTGACACAAATTCACGGAATTTTCCTGAAATAGAAATTCATAGAAGAGTAGGTACAGTATTGAATACCGACTGTACAGGCAGGTCTAATCTCGCGGTCCAGCCGGGCTCCGTCAGGCATCGCCTCCCCCCAACTATGCCTTGTCGAATATTTGTACATTTAAAATGTGAATAGAATAGACGTTAAAAAACATCGTTGTGTGTAATATTTTATTACTATTATAAATATAGCTTCTGTTTTTAACATTTAATATTCTGACAGAATCTTTAATAAACAACGACGTTGAGATAAAATTAATTAATCGTAGATAAGCTCATTGTATTTTCTAGTGGGCGTTACAGCAATACACGTACAGAAAATACTTAACAATTAAACTACAAATTATTACCAAACTAATTAAAAATTAATATTTATTTAATTTGATTTACCTGTGAAATATATAAAAAGACGATAATTATTTCATTTAATCACGACATTGTAAACAGATTCTCATATAAGCTATGTCAGCGATAAATCGTTACATATAATGTATATGTTCCGCACGGAAATTGAATTTCGGGCAAATTTTCACTTGACGTCGTTCCTGAATTCCTGATATTGGCGGTTACTGACAACGATTAACGTTTAATACAATTTACTAGAAATCCGTACTAGCTTCGATCAATAAATAAAAAAAAATATCGGCTTGGCTAATTTGACTCCTGTTTTTAAGGAATAAAATAAAAAAAAGGAGTTTCATATTAGGATTTCCACTGTCTATACTCTAGTATAAAATCTTATAAAAACATACTAAGCATTATTTTTAATACAAAAGCTGTGCAATTTCAAGCTTATAAAAATTAAATGTTTCTATGTTGTACTCGAATAATGTAAGCAGGAAAACTAATACGATATGCGATACAAGTCCTTTGTGTTATCTTTTTCAAATAAACATTGTAGAAATTCTCTATACGAAGACTAACGAAAGACAATAAGAATTTTCTAGAAACATCTTCAAATGTTTACATTTTCCGAGCGGGGAGAAAACGCAACATTTGTATTTGTAAGTTTAAATCGAAAAAAAAACAAGATTGTTAGAACAAAACACAACAAATCCAAACTACGAGTACTAAGTCATATCACCAAAGTTACTCTAAGAATTAAATTGTAGTTATTTACATAATTTAGAGTACAACACGTCCATGGCATTAATAATATATTTTTGGTTCTGTAAAATTCAATAATAGACGTATTTGAAACTTACATTTCAAAGATCCTGTATATTGCCAATAAACTGCCTAACTGCCAATAAACCACTAAAATGAAACGTATGAATCCATTGTCGAAATATCGAGTGTTGAGCATACGACCATTATTGCTTTCTTTTTTTTAGATAAAAGCACAGGATATAAATCCTCTCGGTAGCAACTGAGTATATTAGTGCCTTTTCACTAGTAATAAAAAAAATCTTCATTCTATAGTCACAATCATTACGGTAACGAATTCTCTGCGTACTTTATCGATCTCTTACTGCCCAACTCACAGTCGTTAATTGGTCCCCTAAGCGTAGTTTTTTTTATAAGATACGCTAAATATGTCCCTTAAGGGTAAACTTAAGCTACCAAAATATTGATTCAGGAAAATAAAACACATTTTTCAACGTTAACTTTTATTTATTACCATATAATACCACAATTATAAATCAATATAATATATACAAAATTGTCAGATGTAAAATAAAATGTTACAAATATGTGTATGAAAAATTACTAAAAATGATATTCAAAATTCAGAATAGTAACTTAAATGTAATTAACTATTAGTTTCATTTAACTTAACTAATGATTAGAAATAATGTTACTTAAAAACTTAGTTTACGATAGGATTAATTAAAATAAATAAACACTCCTACAATTATATAATTAATGGCACTAGACATTACGGTTATATAAAAGGCACTAAGCAGTGATTAAAATAAGTCACATTGTTTAGTATTATATATATTTTAGTATATATTGTTTCTTTTAACATATAGGTCTAGCTTCCAGGTATATAATATAATTATATATAGCTTTATAACTATTTTCATAAACATTTGCGATAAAAATTTGTGCGAAAATATCACACAAAAATAGTAGCCCGAAACAAATATATATTGTACTTTAAAATATTGGTCTCATTTAATTAAAAAATATTTTGCAAGGCACATTGAACATCAGGACATTTACCAACATTTAAATTATCATGGTTTTTGAACGTAGTCTTGTATTTCATTGTCTCACTAATATGAATTATTGCTATTAACATTCTTTTTCAAATATAGCTTTGGATAAGATAATTAAAAAAGTATTCGTATTAATTTCTTTATAAAATAAAAATAATAAAAGCATTAACATGACTCAGAGTTGACCAAAGACTAACTATGCGTCACATTTCATAAACAATTATTATCTTGGCAGTGCTGTGAGTATAATCTATGTAAGAAATAAAATTGCTAACACATTACAGCATAAGCATAATAACTAGTGTCAGACATTATTAATTAGAAACCTCTGGCGCGAATAGCGCGTTTTAGTTACAAAGTCAAGTGTCAGAATGAATAGTGAGGGGACATAAACTTTTTAGTAAGGCTAGTGTTGCGCCAGTACATCGTAAAAATGTCGTTTTATCTTCCTAACTCTAGTTATATATTACGTATCTATCTGGGGCTTCAATATTTTCTTCATATATATATTTCGGTTCTACATAACGTCTAATATGCGATCAACTACACACATAAGTACATACAAACACTCACACTAAGTACAAAAGCGTACACAAAACGTATGAGATTAAAACACCATTATAAAGCATTTTCTGAAAAAAATATTAAAAAAAATTGACAATATAAAAATCTATTGTATATAATATCGTTTATGCAAATATGGTATGAATATAAAGGCACAATTTTAAGGCATTTTATTTTAAACAGACATCTAAAAATTCCTAAAAATATTTTTTTTGTTTTAGCGAATACTGTTGGCTTGTTTTATTCAAATGCTTACTACAGATGAGATAAATGTACAGAGATTTCAAGTTTCTGGTTCAGAAACTGATCTGACAGATCTATTTTCCCGCATACGTAGGATTTTTGAACGTCGATGTAGCCTGCTTGTAAATTGGGTTCTCGCCCTGTGGAAAGAAAAAAGTAATTATGTTTCCAACTAAGCTCTAGGCTTGTGCTTGGTTTACGACAATAGTCGAATGGCGGGATTCGAACCCCCGACCTCGTGATCGGAAATCCGTACCCTTAACTATTAGGCTATTGACGACATTATAATTATTATTTTAAACATTTAATAAATCACACTTAAGACCCCTTCTAATTCTATATAGATATTGTTAGTAATCAATTGCAAAATAAATTATCATTAACTGCGGAATTTCTGTGCTGAAATACCACTACAAAATTATTCTTCTCATATATTCCAAAAAAAATAAATACAGGTAGATTTTTATATAACATAAATAGTTAAATGTTATAATTTTTTCCATACCGTGTCCCACTTGGCCATCATGCGCTCCTTCTCGAAGCGTGCGAATTCGCGGCGGTCGTGTATTGTGGTGACCATCTTCCACAGCATCAGCAGTGCCAGCCCCACTAGCACGATGGCCGCTATCACTCCAAGCACGATACCCAGGATCGATACCTAATAAAAAATGACCAGAGTGAAAATAAAAAAAAGACTAGCTTCTAAGACATTACGAGTACCATTATTACACTACAAGGTCAAAGACATGGAATCTATTATTAAATAGATATTTTACGACTTAATAAAAACTAGCTTTAAGCCAAGAATTGAAAAAACTTAAAATTATTACCAATGTGTTCTTCCAAACTAATATCTATGCCTTTCAGCAAGATCCACGCAGATGTTCTGGAGATACCTTCTGATAAACATCCATCCATCCATCCATATATTCGCATTACAGCGCTCTACATTCGTATATTATTACTTACATCACACGCATACGTAATGTAAAATGAAGTAGATACCTTCTTGGGGCAGACTTTCTCCTTCTGCGCGCGGATGTGCAGGTGCTCGGTTTCATTGTATGAGTACACGTACACATACAGGCAGTGGTCGTCGTCGTAGTAGTTGCACAGGTTCTCGTTCAGTGATTGGTTGGCTGTACAACACAATATTTACTGAGAAACTCTTTTTATCAAATTTAAAAAAAAAAAATATTAAATGTAAACAATTTACCAAGTTTAATAGAGAAATTATTCTCCACAATGTACCTAATTGTTATTAAGATTTTTATGTTCACAAAGTGCCATTATGTTGTTCAAACTATGAATCGAAATCATGGAACAAATTTATGATTACCTTCAATTCTGCCTTCTTCAATAACAGGTTCCAGGTCACATTTGCCACACTCTTTCGGCTCATCCGGATTGTAAAGTCTGCCTCGCTTGTGCACTTGACAGAGGACACATTCTTGGAAGTCCAAACATTTTCTGGGTAACGCCTAAAATAATAATTACCCAATATTAATAAAAAGCTAAACATTATAATTTCTTCGAATATTTACTAAAAAGGACGTAAACATTTTAGAATATTTCGCTTTAGTTTTCTTAATCAATTTTCTCTATTTTCAAGTCTATTTATGATATTTGGAAGAAAAGTATTTTTTTTTTGCAAACGGTGATAAAATGCTTTCAATTACGCATATTTTATATATTATAATAAAATGTGTAATACTTACGGGGCTCTTTTCGCAGTATATGCCGGTGTAGTGGCGGTCCTCGTCCACGTCGCACACACACTGCCCGCACACACAGTGACCGTGCCCGCTGCAACTCTTGCCGTCTGCAACACAACAAACATTACATCTCTCCTATTCCAATTTAAATACTGATAAGACTGGATAAATGTTCTAAAGTAGATTATAGAGCTAAAGGAATCTGTAATGATTTATCAATCTTGATCTTTACATATTAAATAAATTGGTGTCTGTATGTCCAAAAAAAAAATCGTATTTTGGATACATTACTTATTTGATGTCGCTTTTGTTTCGAGTAATCTATGGATGAACCCATTTTGACAGGTTTTTAGCGGGGTGGTAGCTAAATTCTGTGCTGACGAAGTCGCGGGCGACCACTAGTATCATATACAGTACATAACACGCCAGAGAGAATACGAATTGAATTAACTCTCTTCAAAACAGTCAACATTTCAGGAAATGATGAAATGGATACATCTGAGATATGAAGATATGATGAGTGTAAAGATATGTTCGTACTGGGCGCTAGACAGGGCGTCTCATCGAGCGGGCACTGGCAGGCGGGGCCGGTGTAGTCGGGCTTGCAGGCGCATTTGCCGCACACGCACTCGCCGTGCTCGCGCCCCGAGCACAACTCGCCCTTGTTCATGTCGCACGTGAAGTTGTCGCACTCGCAGAACGGACCGGATATCACCTGTAACAAAAAAAATAAGAAAAAGAGCTAGAGCACACCTTTCCTTTCGAAATAGTTTCTAAGGGAAAAAAAATGGTTAATTTATAAAATCAACTATTTTTTTTATTACGAGTGTTGATGTTAGACGGTAATGGACAATTTACCTTGAGAGGATCATCGAGCTTGTTGCACTCGCAGAGTCCGCAGTTGCAGGAGCCGCGGCCGGAGCAGAGCGGGCCGGTGGAGGCGTTGCCGGGCCGGCAGCCGCGCTCCTGCTCCAGCGAGGCGCCGCCGTGAGCTGAACACTCGCACCCCTTGCCGAAGCGGCCCGGGTTACAGAGGCACACGCCGCACGCGGATATACCCTGCCCGCTGCATACTAGCGGACTCTCGCTGTAAGCCTACAATGCAATAAATACGGTAAATAAACATATTCTATAACCCCTAACTAAACTATTTGCCAAAATATTTGAGAAGCAAAAGGAAAAATGTTGAAACATTAGGTGTAAGCAACATTTTCCACCTTTTAGTGATAGCTGTTTTAAACTACATTTTATAAACTACAATTTAAGTTACTTGTACCAATATTTAAATATAAATTAAATTAATAAATGCCTGCTACATACATGGTGTCCAGGGTGTTCGCAGGGGCAGTCGCACAGCATCTCCAGCTCGACGGTGAGGCTCTCCGACATGCCCACAGGGTAGATGGTGAATGTCTCCTTCCACTTGCTCGGGTCTTTGGGACACTCTTTCAATGTTATCTCCGCGGTAAACTCCACGACATCACCGACCTACAGTATAAAATAAAATAGACGATATTTCATACAAATAAATTAGATCTAAAACACTTAACAATAAATTAATATCATTGTGTTAACTGTATGACAATTCCTTGTGTTCAATCTCATTATTTTTATAAATATTTTCTGTATGTATCATAAATGTTAAAACAAAACGCTAAATAACAAATTGATTACGAGTAAGGAATTCCAAAATGACGAATGTTCAATGGAGATGGGAATTCTAGAATACATATTTCTACAATTATATATCGTCCTAACAAAAATTAATTATAAATAAACACAATTAGCTAAGCTCAATAGATCAAAAGATAGATGAGTAGTAACCTTCAATCCGTCACATTTGTTCGTCTTCTTAAGGTTGCCCTTAGGGCCGAGACACGAAGAATAGTAGGTCAACTGCACGGCGTCACTTGACGTGTGTTTCATTTCTACGGTCGATGTTATTTTCTGCAAAGAAAAAAAGTTACAATATCCAAAATATTACCCAGCAAATGAACAGAAGGGAAGTATGTCGAATAATACATTTGTACGGTGAATAACCTATGTGACATAATACAATAGGATGGGTCAAGAAAATAATGTCCTTAGTCAATTTCAAAGAGTAAGATCTCATTCAATTCATACTCCTTCTAGTATAAAATTCTGTCCTAGTCGAGCAAATCCTTTTTATATTATTATTAGTGGGTTTTCTAATAGATATATATTTGGTGCCTCACATTGTACTGTTCGCGCACTAATTCGACGACGTTGTCAGAGTCCTCACTGAGCACGCCGCTGCTGGAGCCCTGGATGTTCTTGCTGAGCTGCTCGTACACCTTGAACTGCTCCGACGTCACCGCGAATATCACGTTGATGCCGTGCTCCTTCACCTATATCAACACAACCACATCTTATCTTACTAATATTATAAATGCGGAAGCGGAACGGTGTTTGTAAGGAGGTATCTCCAGAACTGCATGGCTCTCGCTGAAATTTGACACAGATGCAGAACATCTGGAAGACTACAAAGACTACTAATTAGGTTTTTTGTGCGAGGACGGAGTCGCGGGCGAAAACTAGTTTTCTATAATCTCTGTACTTAACTGTATAAATTACCAATTTTATTTGTTAACTGGTAAAATGCTGTAGGTATTATGTTTGGCTCTTGAAGTGTTTAATTTTTAATTTGAGGAAAATTGATCATGTTCCATAAATAATAAAGAAAAAGTATGGTTAAGTATGATAAGTGTAGATACCTTGAGATTAATCTGAGAAATACTGGGATAATCTTGAATGGTTGAGTGTGTGTATGAGTTGTTTTCCATGTGGCATTCACCATCGTTAGGCTGAACAATTCCACCGAGCTGTAAACAAATTTATATATATTTACATATGTTACCAAAATGGTTTTGCTTAAAATTTGTAGTTTCTTTTTTATAATATGACCTGTAACTTAACTATAAAAGTGTATTTTGAAATAGTTTACATACAATATTACATATAATCTTATATATAAAATTCTCGTGTCACAATTTTCGTTCCCATACTCCTCCGAAACGACTTGACTGATTCTCATGAAATTTTGTGAGCATATTGAGTAGGTCTGAGAATCGGCCAACATCTATTTTTAATCCCGCGCGGACGGAGTCGCGGGCGACAGCTAGTAATATCTAACATCTTTTCAAAATACAATGTTGCCTTGCCTTCGTGCCTCATATAAATTTGTATCTCGATTTATTATTTACATTATCTTGAGACTGCGTTTCTTATCATTTTAATTAAATCTGCTAGTGATTTGAGGAAACTTGTGCTATTTTAGTGTTATCACGAGGCCTAAATGTAGTTCAGTGTGTTTCCACTGCCGAAACACCTGCATACAAACTTTTCTCTCTATATTTTAAAGAAAATGAAAGAGATGACTATATGTCACTAAGATTCCCTGATTCCATTGTCTTTTTCTTTTTTTTTTGCCATGAACTATGTGTATAATTTTGTATTTTGTCTCATACCTTTCCGTCACCAGCGTAATGGAAGCCCGCATCCGTTGAAAACACAAGTAAACGACGAGCCTTTTCGCGCCATCCAATTTCCTGCTGACAGACGATCGCCTGCATGATGGCGTCAAAACCACCTTCAGGGGAGTCCAAGTTACCTGATACATCAGCACCGGCAACTGCTTTCTGTTGACAAATAAATAAAAAATATAAAAAATGTCACATAAAGCAATTCGTAGTTGAAAGGATAATTGCATGCGCGACCTTTTTTTACACTTCTATTAAAAATGCAATGAAAAATCTACCTTATTACATACACAGACGATTGATATTCGATTAAAGCTGCCACAAAAACCATTTTAATTACAAAACCTTGTTCATTTTTTATTAAATGTAGCACGCAATTAGCTTAATTGCTCCGATACATTTTTACCAAGTACAATTTTTGCACAAACTGTAAAAAGCACAAGAAAACTTGTATAAAACTTACATCAAAGGAATCAGTGTCGTTACTAAGAGACATTTGATTCTTGAATCCATAGGGTGCCGCGCAGCCGTCACACGGGGAGATCAAACTGAAATAAAAAAGTTAAATCTATATAAATTAATATCTATGGCTTTCTAAACCACTCATCGTATTCAAATGAAAGTTTGGTAGGGTCAACTTCGACGCCAGGGAAGATTTCTATCTTAAGTAAAATATTTTTTTTACGTGGCACGTCGCGTTCAGCTATTTTTTTTTATTTCTCAATATTTATGATTAGATTTATACACATTTTCCTTAATCTGAGAGTCAAACCTAGAAATAATAATACAACTATTCTAACCAGGTTAATATTCTCCATATTGTATAATAGCAAAAACTTTACTCGTTCGTACATAAATAAATAATGTTCCCCGAATGTAATTATCTTTAGCCTATTGTGTAAATGTAATTAATGTTATTAAATATATACAGATTTAATTTGTATCTTAGGAAAACCAAAAACCTTAGAAAAAAATAGGAAAATCTCAAAATTTATTATGTAAGGTTAGAAAAATAACATAAGAAGTTTATATGTATACAATATAACGAAGTATACTGTTTTAATCCTTTTAAAAACAAGACTCGAACTGTTTATTACGAAAAAAAAATAATATTTAGGGTCTATATACGATTTTTTGAAGTAATTAGTAACGAAACTTACTTTTTGGGTACTGTTGACACGTATGGCATGACGAGCTTGTCGACGAAGGATCCAAAGCCGATCCTGAAGTTTGAGGTAATGTTCCTCATAGTACTGGAGAGGAGACTGCCGAGAGTACTTAGTTTGTCCTTGTCATTCTTCATAGATCTACTGAGGTCCATAAGGTAGTATAAATCCACCGGGTAGTCTTGCGCTTGAGCGTACGAGAACGACATCTTTTCCATTTGATCTATACACAAAGAACATAAATAATTATTTTCTTAACTATTTGATGTCACGAACAAAAGTCCCAAGAAAGTTCTAAACTGTCTAACGATGAAGGAAAACATCGAGGTGCAACCTGCACATTTCTGAGAAGAGATTCGAAGACATGTGTGAAGCTCACCAACCCGCACTGGGAGTGGTTGACTATGGCCTAGTCACTTAATTTAGGGTAGGCTCCGCGCCCCTCTGTGAGGACGTATTGTGACCTAATAATGATGTTTTGCATTGAATGTCAAGACGGATAAGTTAATATACATTGTGATTAAAAAAAACAACTTACTCATTCTCAATTTCATATTGACTCGTTGTGGTTTGATTTGCACTAAGTTCTCGCCGAAAGCCGCGCCTCCTCCAGCCATGTAGCCGCTGCCACCCTTCATGCTGGTGCTACTGCTGCTGTAAGACTCCTCGTAGAAAGATGACTCCATGCCCGCCCCGATACGACCCCTGGCTGTTAAGCAACATTATAAATCACATAATACATTAAACAGGTATATTGGAAAGAGAATGTCATCATCAGCTTTAAACAATGAAAATTAATAAACATTCTTAAATATCCGTAGCTTAAATTACAATAATCAAGGGACTATATTAAGTGATCCATTAATTTGTAACTGTCAGTCTAAAAGGAAAACTGCTGACATTACGATAAGAATAGCGTGATATGTCAGACAACAAGGCGTGGCCCTTTTCTTGTCGAGTCATAAAAGGTGCAACAAATGTTTTTAGTACAATATAATCGAAGATGTCAGTCAGAATTTGTGTAAATACTTGACATAGTGACGTACCTCTAGTCAATTCTTTGTTAAACATAGGATCGAGAGTTCGCTGGTTGTCGGGGTTGAATATATAGGCTTCATCGCAGCCTCCAGTGCCGCCCTCTACCGCCGGGTTAAAACATCGGGGCCCGTTGAACTCGGGGGCGAAGCACCACGCACAGAAGGCGGTACGTATACAGTCGCTGCAGATCGTCTTGCTGGAGCAAGGGTTCTGGGCTAGGAGTTGCTCGGCTCGCTGCGCCCAGCATGACGCCAACAAGCACACCCACACAAACACTACACTAGATCGTTGCTTATGCATTTTGTGTTCGTTTCGTTTATCTATTCAGATTCGATATATCTGTAACAAAAGAGAAATTTATTTCATTAACGTTACTACATGATACAAATGCGATGGTAAGGTTTTTGAGATAACGCATTGAGATGAGTATTTGACGTCGTTCAAATTTCTACAAACTAAAAATGCTAAAAGTTAAGAACTTTGATTGAACTGGAGATAACTTAATCTTATAATTCAAACAAAGTAATTATTTAATGACATCAGCTGTTGAATCATTGTTCATAACATTTAACAACAAATGATTGATTAAATCATCGATAATGGCACTACATCTTTTTACAAGACAATGATTCACTACTGTATATTTATTAAAATTCGTTTAATCATATTGTTAAGGTGGTTTCTTTTTTATGAATAAGAAAGAGCGATGAATGGTGTTCAGTTCATGCTATAAGACGAGGTGAGAACGATGTGGGCGCTCTGCTGGTGAGAAAGGGCGGGCTCCTCCCACGCCGCCGCATCGAGGTCGTTCCTAGGGCTACCACCACTCTTACGAGGAAGTGAAAAGCGAATATTTAATTTAAAGCGCTGTTTGAATTTTCACATTCAAACATACTATAATATAATAATATCATCATAAAGTCACGGTAATGACAAATGCTACGTCGGGGATTCCAACTGATGAATATTAAAAAAAAAACCTTATCACGTTATACCTAGTTTTAGACAATATTGGTTAGAATCATTTGGAACGAATGGCGCGCTATCGTTACCAAATAAAGTATCATATCGATTAGTGAGGGGGCATAAGCATTGACATTTTGATAGGTCTAGTGTTGTGCCGTTACGCCGGCACAGTATCAGTTTTTCTTCCTAACATTAGTTATAATACTGGACAACCCTAACGAGCAGCATAGTACAGTCGGACTAAATAAATCCGCTTCTTGACGCGGTACGTAGGCGATCCACATTCATCCGCACATGTTGCGATTACATTTTACTATCAAATTAAAAACAGGAAAACACAAGTTTTTTTTTATTAATATTGACACTTTTTTTTATTAATTTTGTGTTATTATAATTATAAATATTACACTAAGAACTGTGTTTATTTAGGAGTTAATATAAATCAGATGATATTGTCCAATAAAATTTCTCTTGGTTTAATTATTACTATAAATAGACTTCAGCAAAACTATCCTACAAGTAAATTACTATGATTGATGTAACGTTTTCGCGTATTATTTGTATAAATGTGAATAAAATATGTATGTATTTTCATTGGTTTTGTAATTGCATACAAGTATAAACTCTTTATCACCATTTCCTTGTTTATGTAAACATATAACATATTACATTGCAATGTGATTCATTTGCATCAAGTGATATAATCAGCGAATTAAATATCATTTTTACTTTCGCTCATTTACTGTTGCTTACGTCTACTAAAAAATCTGGTAGTTGTTAATAATTTTTTATTAAACATATAGTAGCCTTATAATTCGTATTAGTACTTAACACCTTTAGCCTTTTCGATTCGAAAATGTAGATAATTTATAAGCAAAACAAAAACCAACAATTTGCTTTATACCTAAACGCTTTCCTCATAGACTTGTTAACACATTCATCCTTAACCTCATTACAAACAAATGTATTTTAGAAGAAATTACAATATGTTTATGAAAATATATTATCTATAAAAATGTAAATCGTAGGATCATTCTACAATCATAGTGTTAAAGACCATAGATAATATAAGCCCACTAGATATTTTTTTCTTTAAAAATTATGTACTTACAAAAAAATGTATCATAAATCCAACAAGATTTGTCACATATACACTTCTTGTCACTATAATTGTGTGCACATAATAAAATCATAAAGTTTCACACTCCTTATCAAGTAATTGACTCACATTTCGCACAAAACAACACTAAAAAGTTAAATTTAATTTTATCACTGTTTCATTACTTTCTTATACTTACAGTTACTATACAATTTATTAATAACTGTCTAAATTTATCGATGGGATATTAAAAAGTAATTAACAATACCAAACTTTCAAAATAACATTACACATTGATCCACATTAAAGAAAAAGTTTTTTTAATTATTAACAAACACTTTAATATTATTTTTAATAATAATAATGGTCATCGAAGTAACATTTCGTAATAATATAAATCGTATTTCGGAGCGTGAGCAGCACACGGCCTGCCTGCGCCGGATACACGCGTGACTAATTGTTCAGAAAATAACTTCGTCAGCCAGTGATACGCAAGGCGCCGTCACCGTTCTTCTTAGAATCAATATGCACATTAATAATACAGCCAAGCTGCAGTTTCATTACATTTCAATAAACTTTAAAACTCCTAAGTCCCATTAAAAAGGAATTTTTAATAAAAGAATTATTCTCAACAGGCATTGGTCCGCGACTGTCTGTTTGGAATTAAAAAATAACATAACTATGTGTACTTCCAAATTATGTTCTATGTGTGCAAAATTGTATCGCGGTCTGTCCAGCCCTTCTGGAGATCCATCCATCGCATCCAAACATTCGCATTTATAATATTAGTAAGAAGTAAGATAACAATACTTCAAGTTTTAATTTTAAATACACCCAAAAATTGGAACATAAAAAAATTCAATAGTACTCGATTCATAATTCACACCGAAATCAAGGTTTTTACACGAGAAACGAGTCTGTGTAGGCCACACGGGTTACGTCATAAAGTAATGAGCTGACCAATATAGTCATGACATAAGGTGTCATGGACGTATACCTTCGCGCTATTATTTGAATCACAGTTTTTGTTAAGAGTAAAAATCTAAATAATTACAAAATAACAGTTTTAGTGACGCACGTCGATGTATTCTCATTTACAATGAGTCAAGCGCGTATGTAAGTAACCTTATTAAAATGATAACTCACATTGATTGCGACAAAAATGGTATTGCAATTCGCATAACATACTCGGCAACGTATAATGATATTCCTTATTGTTTTATTGTTTATATCTTAGAATAATATATATACTCTGTTAGTAATTTTACAAAACGTTTATCCTTGTAGCTGAAAACCCTTAAAAGACGATCGATATTTTTCTGACTAACTTAAAATGTGTTCTGTGAAATTAAATGAAACTTTAATTAAACAGAAAATCGAGGCTGTGACCTATTTTTCCCGTCCATAGCAGAGATATTTTTTTTACATCCCTATATTCATTTAGCTGATATAACGGCAATAGAACTCATCAACTGCCCATACATAATATCCCTAATGTAATACGTGTTAAAACGGGCCAGATTTGTTTTTCTCAATTTTTTTCCACACTTACATCGCCTTGCTTATTTATTGTATAATTTACGAAAATCAAGATTTAAACCGATTAACATTTTTAAAAAACATAGAAAACTTCTTGGCTGAAGTGTTTTATAATTAGGGTTCGTACAATTCGAATTGTTCGTATTCCTGTAGTACCAAACGAAGACTATGGTTCGACCACGATCGTTAGAGCCATTTACGTGTGCTAACTGCAGCACTGACTGAAGTATCGTTTGTCCGCAATAGAACGTTTTTAGCAGCGCAATTCTAAGGATCTCGCAATCCGCTAGGAACTATTGGTGGCGACTAACGGCTGATACAAAACAGTAAAAAAGTATCAGGAGTACGGTGGCAGAATCCCGGCCAGTGCAACCTGTCCAAGTTTCCATATATCGACGCTAACGGTTGGGGTGAACCGCGAGGTCAACGACCGCACCCGTACGCTCCGGCGGGCGCGGCACCATCGTACAGCACCTAAAACTACTATTACGAAATGAAAATCGAACTTTTTTTACAGTGCAATTTTCCGTGTTATTCTCATTGACATTTTTAATTAGACAAATAAATGTTAAAAATTTAATTTAGGCTAAATCGCAATATACGTATCACACATGGAATTAAATAATTATTGTATAGGTAAATAGAACAGAATACTATAAGAGATTGAAAAAAGTTACTAGCACATATCTAGGACTACACTTACTGCAGCAGTATCGTTTAAAGCACACTTTATCAAACTACTACCAAGGAATATTGTCATCAAATTAACTTAAAATAATTGTTCCTATAACTAACCCATTTAAATTAACAATAACACAATTCGCACACATAACTGTGGACATTGTGGACTTCCACTTGGCTGAATCCTGACATATCACTCCACCACAATATAAAAAAGTACATCAAGCAAGAAGATATTTAGGAAGGCACACTGGACAATAATTTAACCTTTGCACTGCGTTGTCGCCGCTAGGGCGACATTCAAAATGTGAGACTCAAATCCGCTGTCGCTGCTATGACTGAATTAGTTGATGTTACACCAATAAACCCAGAAACAAAGAATGTTGAAAGTGATATTTTGTTACAACGGTATTTATACATATTTATGTGGGAGGGCCTAATGGCACCGGAGTTATTGATACACCATGTTATTTCAGATACTGGAGTACTAAGTGTTAAGCATTTAGTTTTTCAGTGGTTAAAGGTGGCAAATCAACTGTCCCAGATGGCACCTGTCCATAACCATCTGCAACCAGTTACAAAATAGCAAATACATTGCCAACCTTTCATAAACCAAGGAGAGGAACATACAAGAAGGTATTTTTCCCCCTAAAAGGGGAATTTGGCCACTTGCACACACTCATCAGATAAAATAGAAATACATAAAATACTACCATGACATACATTTCTTCTTTGTAAATGTGATATTGCACAGATTGAGCAGTAGATTAAATGATGCAGTGTCAGCTATGGATGTGTGGACTCTACTACTGTCAATATATGTATAATATATTTAAAATATAAGTGGAAAGTTATTTAATTGGTAGGAAACTATAAGTAATGTAAAAGAATTCACTACCCATTATTCTAATTAATATCAATTGGATTCTAGTAATTACACATAAATTGCATAAAAAATAAAGTTTTATACATCAAAAAATAACGTGGGATGTTAATCTTATATGTAACTGTTATGATTAAATTATTCATATGTATATATGGAAAGCATTGCTTTGATAGTAAAGTAATAGTCGCGTGTGAAAGTATAGCTTACTAGGAAGGCAGTAAGATCAGATTCCTAAAAGGATAATGTATAGAAAGCTCCTGAATGCTTATAATTACCTCTAAGTTCAATATTTCGCAATCGGACTACAAAATTGAGAACAACAAGCTTAAGTACATTAAGATTTCATACTTACCAGTCTTATTTTATTTGTTTAAGAAGCACACCAATACAAAATCCCATTTCTATTTTGTTACACCTTACAAAAGAAACACATGAGATAATCCTTTAACTTTAAAGTAAATAAATTACTCATTTACCCATTACCACTCAACCTAAAACAATAATCAACCAATGCCAAATTTGCCAAACCAAACCAAAACCAATCAAAGACTTTAAGCTGCGTTCAAATGACAATATATACACAGCGCAGATATTGAGAATGATCAATAGAAGATCAGTTTAGGTTAAGATCCAAGATCATAATACTGTGATAAAATAACTAACTATATATATTACTAATAAATTAGTTATTTGTTTATTTTTTAACATTTGGCTTTAAGATTCAACTCAAAAACTGTTTTCAGCATTATGAATTATATTCAAAATGTAATGTCATAAAGACAGTTAAAATCCAAAATACTTGGTACAACGCGGTGTCAAAACTTGTTTAAAACTCACATAAAATAACAATAATATTACAATTAATCAAGCTGAGCTATATAAAGTTATCAAAGACAGCAGAAAAATAACATTTCCTACTAAGCAATCATCAATGGTGGGTTGGAAGGGACTGCGAATCTTTACAAATAACAAAACTGATAATATACCAGTAAAATTTTGAAGCTTTCTTTATCTGTTCTTGTAGTTTGGAGGAATTTTATAATATTCATAGATATAGTAAATAGGAATATTTACCGTGTGAAACTTATAATATGTACTGTTTTCTTATTAGATCCTACAGAGAAACAAATTGACCAAGTTCTTCAAATCTTTCCATAAAAAGAACTTATGGCCATTATATTTTAAGCTTGCATATAGTTGGAAAGTAGGTAATGTTGAAAATAGCTTTTTTTTATTTCATTTTAATGAAGAGTCCAAAAAATTATATCTTGAATCTTCAAAGCTTTTTAGAAATATGGAACGTAGCTTTTTTTGCACAATGTTGGTAGCGGATCGATTTTTTTCATGACGTTGGCTGAGTCTCGATTATCCAACCAATAAACATGCAGTTTCAGGCCTTTCTTCTACGAAGAATATGGCCGACATTTTGATACTGCTGTCATGAAGATTCCCAGTGACAAAATCTAACTTTGTAGTTCTTCATGCACGGTTTTATGTTCCAATAGAGTTTTATTTTTTTTAATTGCATAGACGGTGTTTAGTGTAAGATATTTGGTTTCCAAAATGGCAGCTGATCGTGAAATAGCTGCTGAAGATAGCATTAGAGTTGTATGCCGATTTCGGCCTTTGAATGACTCCGAAGAAAAAGCTGGTTCCAAATTTATTGTGAAATTTCCATCAGGTCCCGACGATAACTGTATTTCCATAGGGGTATGTGAAACCTTATTTTACAGTTGCAATAGTTCTTGCTATCATCGCCCTAATTTAGATCATGATGACTAATACATTATGACTTGTGTTCACCTGCTACGAAATGGCCTTTCTTTTCTATTCCGCTTCGGTGACTATGACTGCAAATGCAATCGAAAAAATTTGTGATGTCTAGTTTCAACTAAAACGAGCAAGTGATTTTATTTTGTCGAAAATCAATACAAATACTTTCTCGACCTTGACCTGAACGTATCCTTCGCATATTTTTTAAAACTACGGTATTTAATATTTGTTTATCTGCAGGATATCAATATTTTTTTTGTAAAAAATCCTGTGTCATCTAATACTTTGTTACTTAAACAAATAACAATATTCTATCACTTAAAAATTCTTGGATATTAAAATACAACATTATAAAAAATATTTGTTTTATATTACATTGTCTTTGCCATAATAATTTTTTATTTAATTAAATAAATGTGGTTTATTACCAACCTACATGGGTTCAAAATGTGATAGGGAGAACAATATTTTATGTTTATAAAAAATGTCTCATCATATCCCTATCGTTTTTTTGTCAAAATCAAATGTTATTGGTTACATAATCTATCTTATTTTGAATATATGATATATTTTATTTAACTAAATAAATTTTACTATGGTTTTCTTTTGATTCTATTGTATCACTAAAAATATTATTTTAGGGTAAAGTTTATTTATTTGACAAAGTATTTAAACCAAATGCAACCCAAGAGAAAGTATATAATGAAGCTGCAAAGAGTATTGTGTCTGATGTACTGGCTGGATACAATGGGACAATTTTTGCATATGGTCAAACAAGCTCTGGAAAAACACACACAATGGAAGGTGTCATAGGTATGTATGACCCATTTGAAATATAAAAAATATAAACATTAATACATATTATTAATTCAATTCTTTTTGTTTTTTTAGGTGATCCAGGGAAACAGGGTATTATTCCAAGGATAGTCAATGATATTTTCAACCACATTTATGCAATGGAAGAAAATTTGGAATTCCACATAAAAGTTTCATACTTTGAAATCTATATGGATAAAATCAGAGATCTCTTAGATGGTAATACTTTTTAAATATCACTAGCAAAGTATAATAAACAATTAGAATTTGGGTCATGTATACTAATTAAATTTATTTTTTCCAGTCTCGAAAGTTAACCTTAGTGTTCATGAAGACAAGAATCGTGTCCCATTTGTCAAAGGTGCTACAGAACGGTTTGTTTCAAGTCCCGAAGAAGTGTTTGAAGTTATAGAGGAAGGCAAATCAAATAGGCATATTGCCGTAACAAGTATGTAACATATGCAAACTAAAAATGATTATACCTTCAAATATATGATAAATTTAATATGGATATTAATTTCAGACATGAATGAACATTCATCCAGATCTCATTCAGTCTTTCTCATTAATGTGAAACAAGAAAATTTAGAAAATCAGAAAAAACTATCAGGAAAATTGTATTTAGTTGATTTGGCTGGTTCTGAAAAGGTAAGTAATTAAAAGCCTCTCTTTACTTACTAATGTTATCATTGCAAATGTGTAGATGGATAGATGTTTGTTTGAAGGTATCTCCAGAATGACTTAACGGATCTAGTTGAAATTTGAACTAGTTGTAGAACATAGTTTGGAAGAACACATAGGCTAAATAAGTCTTAAGTCTTTTTTTTTAAATTAGTATAATAATATTTTAAATGTCAAATAATCTTGAAAAAGACAAAAAGTCTATTATTAATCTGAGTATTTTTCTTCAGGTGTCTAAAACTGGTGCTGAAGGTACTGTGCTCGATGAGGCAAAGAACATAAACAAATCATTATCTGCTCTGGGTAATGTCATCTCCGCATTAGCAGATGGCAACAAATCTCACATCCCATACAGAGATTCAAAATTAACCCGTATCTTACAAGAGTCACTTGGTGGTAACGCCAGGACAACTATTGTCATCTGCTGTTCCCCAGCCTCATTTAATGAGAGTGAAACAAAGAGCACACTTGATTTTGGTAAAAGGTAAGGTTGCCATATACCATACTTATAGTGCCATTATTTATTTATTTGTGCTAATATATTTAACCTCTGTAGAGCCAAGACTGTGAAGAATGTTGTATGTGTCAATGAGGAACTCACTGCCGAAGAATGGAAACGACGCTATGAAAGAGAAAAGGAGAAGGTGGCTAGACTTAAAGGAAAGGTAAATATACTAATTTAGTTTATATTCAGATTTCTTTATTATTAAAATTATTTCAGTTTTAATGTTTATAGTTGTATGTATATATTGATTTTAAAATGTTTTTAGGTTGAAAAACTCGAAGCGGAAATTAACCGTTGGCGTTCTGGTGAAACTGTGCGACCAGAAGAACAGGTCAACCTTCAGGAGATTGAAGCTGTTACTCCTGTCACCTCCTTCATTGAAGAAAAGCCACCAGCACCAGTATGTATTGATTTGTCGTCTTATTCTTCCATCAGTTCCATCCAGAGCTATAATTATCAAAATGTATCCCTAAAACATACATATTTCATAATTTAATCTTCCAATACTAGAATTTTATATTATGAAAACTAAAATAATAATAAAGTTAAATTTTATTTATGAGTGTTTTAAATATTTGAAAGACTTATTTTTTATATAGCCAGTACCAGTGGCTGTTGCTAGTGTGGTTGAGGATGCGGCCATGCAAGGCAAGCTGGAAGCACTGTACCAACAACTGGACGACAAGGATGAGGAAATCAACCAACACTCTCAGCTTGTGGAGAAACTAAAGGAACAGATGATGGAGCAGGAGGAACTTATTGCTTGCACAAGGTAGATATTTTAATACTTTCAGTGCCATTACAACTTTAGTTTGAAAGTGAACATTAAGCATTGAATGTGATGAGTAAAAAAAATTATAATCATAATTTCTAATTTTTGGTTTGCTATTATTATTTTATATGCATTAAATCATTAATACATTTCCATTATAATGACATAAAGATACTTTTATAAATATTAGAATAGTCTATTTACCACAAATTACTTTTCTAGGCGTGACTACGAAGCCCTGCAGGGTGACATGAACCGCATCCAACAGGAGAATGAAGCCGCCAAGGAGGAGGTCAAGGAGGTACTCCAGGCTCTGGAAGAGCTGGCCGTCAACTACGACCAGAAGTCGCAGGAGGTTGACAGCAAGAGTCGTGAGTGCGACCAACTGTCTGAGGAGTTACAGACAAAACAGGTAAGGAAGTAATGTAGTTGGTTGGTTAGGTTAAAGATTTAATATATCATACAAAAAGTGTGTAAAAAGTTTTTTTAATTTAAAGTATGTGCTTAAAAGGTATTCAGTAACTAAGTATTTAGAATGTAAAAGAATATTAAGAAGATAACAGTGGTAACCATCAACAGAGTGCTCTGGCTACTGCAACATCGGAACTCCAACAATTGCGTGACCTTTCCGCGCACCAACGTAAACGCATTGCGGAGCTACTCACCAATCTGCTCCGTGATCTGGCTGAAATTGGTGCAGCAGTTGGTGGCTCCGAGTTGGACTTCAAGCTGAACGTGGATACCGTTGGTAAACTGGAGGAGGAGTTCACCGTTGCTCGATTGCATATCAGCAAGATGAAGAGTGAGGTTAAGAACATTGTGCAGCGCTGCCACTCTCTGGAGACAGCTAATATTGATGCTAATCAGAAGGTGGGTTTAAAAATACATTGTTATTTAAAATCTAGATATGTTTCTGTACAACTTAAGATGTTTAAAAATGGAGTTTTCTTTTGGTACCGGTTCTATACTTGAATGATTTTACTATTAGTGATGCGAAGATTGCAATTAATAGAACATTTAAACACAGATTGAGGAGTACGAGCGTTCGTTGGGCGAGTGCCGGCTGCTGATCTCCCAGCACGAAGCGCGGTGTGCGTCACTGGCGGAGTCCATGCGTGAGGCTGAGAATAAGAAGCGCCAGCTGGAGGAGGCGGCGGATGCGTTGCGCGAGGAATGCGCACGTCTGCAGGTAATACATACTACAGTCAATCACATATACATCTATCCTTTTTATTTTATTTGGAAAAAACAAAGATGACAATATGTTACTTGATATTGACAGACAGTGAAGTTTTAAGAGCCGCTTTTTAACAATATATTTCTAGATTTGTTATGGTAATAAAAAGTGCTACAAACACTTTTACTTCACGTTTGATTTAAATATAAATACTGTAAATACACATCAATAATTGTTGCACTAAAATATATCTCTACCCTGCGAAGTAGATAAGGAGATATCAGCGACGACTGACACCAATATCTAAATATCATTCCAAATTTGTACAGTTTAATAAAAATCGATCTTAAACAGACTACCGAATAATACCTAAACCAATAAATAACAAACATTTTACGTCAAAATTGTATCTTTTTGGTTTGAATTAGTAAATAATAAAATCTCACAGTTTAGCGTTTACTCAATTGCGCACAAAAATTCCTAGTCTTAATTACGTAGTACAAATTGTTGAATTATGTTTAGATTGCTTAAAATGTTCTCTGACTGTGTGTCTGACTGTCAAATTATCTGATTGTGTAATTTTTCGTAATAAATTCTATCAGAATACATTCTCAAAATCAAAGAAGTATACAATTAGTGCATAGCCTTGGTTTGTAACAAAGATCTTTTTTATATCGAACACAGTAACACGCAAACGTTGTTGTAAGCATTAATTATACTTGCTGAAAGATATATGGCCTCTTACTATTTTTTTTTATGATTAGTTTCTCATATTATGAAATGCAATCAGGAAACTAACTCAGTCTTTTCGTTAATATTAAGTCATATTACTACTATTATAAATGCGATAGTTTAGATGGTTGGATGTTTGTTTGGAGATATGTCCAGAATGACTGAACAGATCTTGCTTAATTCGGCATAGACGTAGAACATAGTCTAGAAGAACACGTAGGCTCCTACTTTTTTTTTTAAATTCAACGCGGACGGAGTCGGTCGTAGCTAGCTTTGTAATAAGTAAAAACTTCCATATATTTAAAATAAAACTGTCTTCATTATAATATGGAAATTTATCTGCGTTCAACTTAGTCAGCATAGTTCGTAATATTTCAAAATATCAATATTTATTATTTACGTTCTTGGTTGCTCTTTGTATTCAGTTTCATAGTCTTGAATGCATTGGTAACGATATTAAATTTAAAAGTAGCGTTTGTTTATTTACTTGGAACATTTCGGGTCTTGGTTTAATTATAGACGCCTCGTACACTCCAAACTCTTATCGAATCAGTACAAAATGTAAAAGTATTTTACTGATAATTTGTAAATTGTAATAGTCGTAGAAAATAGCAATTTTACAAACGGAGACTATTATATGTTTATTTTTATTGTACGTGAAAAAAAACGCTCTCGTTAAGTAAACAAAAAGCTATTCATGTTAAGTAAAAGAATAGTCTATTCAAATTTTTGAGTTTTTCTTGTCTATTTAACCGCTGGACCATATTATATCCACGTACAATCGTAATTATAGTAGTTTTAACAATAGAATGTATTATAATTCGTTATTTGATTTTCCCACGTAAATACTAACTTCAAATATTAGTATTTTTATATGTATATAAAACAAGTTTCTGAATGCGATTAAATACGTAGACCGTTTAACAGAGATTTTATAATTGCCACATTTCATATTGCAATTATCCCCCTGAAAGTTTATATAAATATTTCATAGAATTATTTAAATATTAATATGAATAAATTATAATAATCTTATTGTTTATATTTTCAATGTTATTGGAATGTGCAAAACAATTGAGTATGGGCGGTGTGAGTAATATTTCGAGAACGCACGAGACATGGGTCAAGGCTGCTTTTGATAATTCAGTTCTTAAATTCTTGTAATTGCTTGAATATTGAAGGAAAACAATAAATTATATATGTTATTGAATAAAATGTCATATTTTAAAGTAAAATTAAAATATAAGAATACGGTTTTTATGATCGCAAAAATGAGTTTATTTTTATGTAATTCACGACTCAATAGTTCCAAATATAGTAGTTTTAATCGAGTTTAATAGGTCAATGTTAAAGAAAAATTTATTAGTCTGAATCATTAAAACAAGTTTAAAATGTAATTATAAAATGTATGTTTACATGTTAATGTTTTTTTTTATAAAATTGCCTTGAATTTTCAAGCTGAATAAACATTACTTTTTAACGATTATAAGATTTCAAGATATACTACTTGCTCCTTTTGTGGTTTTAAACTGAAATAAAATGAAAACTCATGTCATAATCAAAGTAATAAATATATAAGAAGAAATATTTTAAAGTTTTGAAATACGGTGAATAATTTCCACTCAAGTTGTTCGTCTTAATTACTAGTGCAAACGAGTCGCAGAACATTTGTACTGACATTCTTTGACGACCTAATGATTACGTCATATCTGCATTGCGTTTTAAAATGCTAATGTTGTAATAACTACATTTTTGATTCCTCTTATTTATTTTAAACATTTATGATTTTATTTAGACAAACAGAAACCAAAACATGAAACTGATTCGATTTTCAAAACTATCCTTGTGGTAACCCTTGATTATTTTATCTTGATATGGACCATAATTTTCTTTTTTACTTGTTTCATACCACTGACTACCCTTTGTATTACGGTCGTGAAACTTATATTTATATGTTTATAATTGAGAAAACAATAATGTGCGTGTTCTAAGTCAGTTGGCGCGACGAGTTGCGTAAAGCGTAACAATTCCCCACTAATTATGGTTGTTAAGTTTTACATTTGACGACGAAGAAATTTCACTTTTGCTATAAAAAAATACTGATAAAATAATTAGATAGGCGTATGTCTGATGTGACTGGTATACGGTATTGATCAACAATAAATTCTTATCCTGTCTGCCAGGGTATCGACCCCTGTTTTATGACGTCATAAAGGGGAACTCGCGTGTTCACAATACTTATTACCTCATCGTTTTGATTGGGAAAATATCTTAAAACAAGGAGTAAATTAACATTAACGGAAACTCTAAAGGCAACATACAAATGTAATAAATCTACAGAATTCAATAATATAATCTTCTTACCCAGCTCTATTGTAATGAAAAATTATATAAATTTGGGTTTAATTTTAGCTGGTTTGGCTGTGTCTACGACGCCCTAGATCTGGCGTCTGATAATAGTTCTTTAAGATATGGTAGTATATTGTGTGCGTGTGACTGCAGGCTGCGGAGCGCGTGCAGCTGGCGGCGGCGGAGCAGCGCGCAGACTCACAGCTGCGCGGCGCGCTCGAGGCCCAGCTGGAGCAGCTGCGCGCCTCCCACACCACGCAGCTGTCGGCTCTGCGCGACGAGCTGGCCGCGCTGCAACGACAGCACCAGGAGCTCAAGGAGTAAGTAACTCCGTTGAATAATCTTAAGGGCTCATATTTAATGTAAGAATCAGGAGCTGTAAGAAATGCAGAAAGCTTCTTCATGTTTGGTTACCAACGATTCTATAGAACATCGTATTTGATATTTAGTAGTAATGAGTATAATTGTATCGTGTTTAGTAAAATGTTAGTTTCCTTATTGATATATAAATGTTTGTCGACAGCACGTACCAGGAGTTGACGTTGGCTCGCCAACAGCTGCAAGACGACTACGACAAACTGAAGCGCGAGGAGGCCGACAAGTCCGCCAAGCTGAAGGAGCTAATGTTAGTGTCGCGCTCGCCTCGCCGTCATCTAGATAAGGCCGAGAAAGAGATCGCCAATCAGCAGACCGCGCTGATGGACGACAACGATATATTCGGGGACTACATCATAACCCCAAAGAAACAGAGGCTAGGGTTCGGCTACGGCCGGGGCCTCGACATCGACAAAGCTAGCAGGGAGGAAAAGTCGCTCTCGGCAATCCCCAAGTCCCCCTCTCGCCACACGTGCAACATCCACCCCCTCCAGCTGCATTTGCTCATCTCCGTCACCATGATCCTGCTCACCCATCGCTACCCCCAGATTGTTGTTTTGGTTTAAGCTTTGCTATACTCTTTACTTTCTTCTCGTGGGTCTCTACACGCCGACGCTCATTTTTTATGACTTTAATATTGATTCTAACACAATAGATTGCCAGCTTGTGTTCAGTTCGCGACCTAAGTGTGTCGAGATCCAAGTTTATTTTACGTATTTTATTATTATTTCATTTCCTCGGCAGCTGCAACTGTCTTATAAAACGCGGCAATAATTCGAACTAAGTGTATAAAGTTCCTCTAAGACAGTTGTGGAAGTATTAACGATCTAATAGCTTTCGCTTTTAAGACTAACCTACTAGTCCTGTAACGTGACCAAAGATTTATTTTAATAATTCCCATAAGCATTTATTAATTTTATGTTTGCAAATTTATTCGATGCATGATTCGCGGTTCGTATAAACGTGTGTATAAGGCATGTGTTAGAAAAAATTGTTCAAATATAATAATTAGTTATATTTTCGCATTTGTTAGATGTTAGTCAAGGTAGGAATTAGGAAGTCTTTTTGAGGTACGTTTAGAGCAGTGAGATACATCGATTGGTCGTAGATTCGTTGGATTATTGGAAAATGAAATGTTTTTACCTGTGACTACTGCAATATTAATGTAGGGTAGTTAATATTTTTAAAATGTTGGTGACGTAGCAATGTGTCTGACGCTCGTATCGCTAGTGTTTCTCGTGTTTGTAAAGTTGTAGGTTGTCGTAATTACGCGCTTTAATTGTTTGGTGCATAAAAGTTGAACTCACTGCCTTTTTAAGTTTATAGTAATTTAAAGAACACCATAACTTAAAGAAATATTGATATCAAATGTTGTGATTTAAATTAAAAAAAAAGCTACAAAGTTGAAGATGAAAAGTTGAAAGGAGATTATTTGCTTTACGTTTAAAAGTTAAATATGATTTTCGCACAAAGAGTATTAAAAGAAACAGACATAATTATTTGACGATGTCTTCATACAACATAATAGTTGTGTAAATATTTTTGTAAATAAAATTAAATTATTGTATAGAGAGTCACCGAGTCATATTTTTATCGAAATATTTTTCTATTAGTCTCGAATTGTTCGACTTGTTTCTCGGGATATATTTAAAGTTACTAAATATTATTCTCAATATTTATATTTTTTAGGCATAATTATTCTTAGGTTATAAAGATAGATAAGAATAAAACGGCTAGATAGTTTTGGAACCATTTAGTGATATGGCCTTTGCATTTAATAAGAGGAACATATTTGTCACGATCATTCCATTGTTGGCATTTATTTACATGACTAGTATTGATGGTTTATTGACAAAACATTAGTCATTTTCATCAGTAATAATAAAGCTTGTTTATATTTGTCCCATTTCATCTATGCTTCGTCATATCAAAGCTGAATCTTATGTTTTACTTGAAATGCTTTCATTCAATCAAAGACATGCTTAAGCACATTATCTTGAAAATATTCTTGAGAGCTAGAATTCTAGCCATCACCTAGACCTATATGAGTCACCTGTTCACCTAGGTCATGCCAGCAATTACATCTTTCATTGCTTGCGTTTTATATCAAACATTATTTCCCGTTGTCCGTATCACTTCCTTAGTTGCACTGGAAATGCCGAAGAGTGATTGTCGCCTCAACCTGTGGGCTCTGAACTTCGAGCAAATGCAAATTATCACATAATTTATTTTATAACAAAATATTATAAATCATTTGCACGTAGCTCTGGCCCGGTCGTGGCGTTACGTCGCCGGTGAATCTAGAAAATTCCAAAGCGAACAAAAATTAAAAATGATATTCTCTTTCTAGATTGAATCGGTGCCTTTTAAATGTTAATATTATGTTATTTTATTTATAAATTGTATGTCGTAGTCGATGTAAGGTACAGGTTAAAATGTAGTTGCAAGGTTTGTTTGCCTAGTGCTTTTTATTTTTGTTAATTTTTTTGAGTTGTCATTTTATTCCGCACGTATCCCATTCATATCATTCTGCCGGGGGTTGGCATTTTCTAAAACGATGGCCTTTGATGACCGAGCGACATTAAAATATGGATGGGTGCGTGCTGGGAGTTATGATAGCTCTGCTCTTTCGTGTCTGCAGGTAATTTGACTAGTCACTCTAAAGTGTTCTAAAGTCACTTTAAAGTATCCTTTGTTAATTTAAGACGACCATCACATTAACTAGGTAAAAAGTGTGGCTTAATCAATGTTTAAACAATGCCATAAAATATTACATTTAATTTAGTGATATCTTAAAAGCTACTATATTGTATAGCAATCAATGTATGTTTGTATTGTGCTTGTTGGTTGATTGTTATTTTATGTACAGTCAAAGTGTGGAGCGCCGCGAGCAGGCGCGCGCCGATCTCAAGGGGCTGGAGGACACTGTCGCCAAGGAGCTGCAGACGCTGCACAATCTGCGCAAACTCTTCGTGCAGGACCTGCAGGTAATTTGAACCAACGAACTACAACAACATATTCTAAAGTCCTCAGAAAATTAATTTACAATTTCAATTGTATATTACCATTTTTTTAATAATTATTATTGTACTTTAGGCTAGGATAAAGAAGTCGACGAACCCCGAGGAAAGCGCGGAAGAGGAGGGCGGTTCTCTGGCCCAGAAGCAGAAGATCTCATTCCTGGAGAACAACCTGGAACAGCTGACGAAGGTTCACAAGCAGCTGGTGCGCGACAACGCAGACCTTCGCTGCGAGCTGCCCAAGCTGGAGAAGCGGCTGCGCGCCACCATGGAGCGCGTCAAGGCGCTCGAGACCGCGCTTAAGGTACCCAACGACGAATCCAAATACATGTAATAAGATCTCTAAACAGATGATTATCCACTCTCCCTCATTTTTGATGACACTTTACTAATTATTCTCTCGTCCGTCAACCAATAGCTCTGCTACTGTGTAACTTCGAATGCGCTCTCGCATCTTTATTGTAACATTGGAAATAATAACTTAAATTGATAGTTAATATAAAATATAGGAACGTTAACATGATTTGCATATTAACTGTTGTATGTTTGTTGTAGGAAGCGAAGGAGGGTGCGATGCGCGACCGCAAGAGATACCAGTTCGAGGTGGACAGGATCAAGGAGGCTGTAAGAGCCAAGAACCTCGCCAGGAGGGGACCCCAGGCTCAAATCGGTAATATTATAATGCGATATTTTTCTGAATCATGAATTCATATATTTATATAATATGACTGTAACAAACAAATGTTTTAATATTTTTATAGCTAAGCCGATCCGTGCTGGCGGCGGACACCTGGTGAGCGGCGGCGCGCCCGGCGTGGTGCGGCCCGCGCCCGCGCAGGACATCAAGCGCAAGTCCATCATCGTCGGTGGACGAGGTTCGTTATATTGGTTTATTATTAGTAGTGTTTTTTTCGCAAAATTCAACTATACTATTATACGGACCTTTGAGCTCATATAGTGGAAGTCCAACCGGAATTGATTTGTGAATCGTCTCAACTATTTCTATTCTTTCTTTCAGATGAAAGTTGAAGAGATTGCAGAAGTCACCATAGTGAACCTAAATGAAACTTCGTAGATGTATGGCGGCAAAATCGTTTCGAAAAAAAAGTTATACCCATATTAATATAATTACTTCTTTGTGTTTATGAAAAGCCTAATTAATAAGTTGCAACAAAAAATAACAAAAATATAGTAGAATCCTCTAAGGCTTAACCTTTCGACTATCTAATCTTATTGTCACTAAGTGCACACGTATTTAGAGAAAGCTTGTCGCTGTGTATGTAGGGGCGCGCGCCGCGCCTACGCCGGCCCTGTGCGTGGGCGCGGCGCCGCGTCGCCCACTGTTACTCTCTTACCTATGGGTTCTCACTATAGTATTAATGTATTCTGATACAGAGCTTTGTTCTAAATGTCGCTCTATTAAAATGAATTGGATAAAAAATATTTTTATGATGAAATGACAAAAAAGTATTACATTTAGTCCCTACACTATAATGTTCTATGTGCATTGCTTTCGTCCCGTTTGAAATGTCTTGATCTTGTGTATTTCGTGGGAAGAAATGGCCCAGCGAGGGCGGAAGGGGAAGGCAGGGTGGGGAGAGATCTAGCAGTACAAAGAGCGCCGAGCCAGTTACCAGTACATTTGTGAAATTATATAGAGCTATATGAGACGAAGTGTCGCTCCCATTTCTTCCCGGCGGGATACAAACAGCATAAATTGTTCAATAGATGCAATATGTCATTATATTTAAGGAAACGCTGTGAACGTTCGCAGGCTCGCGTGTGCTGCCGCACAAATAATTTTTTAAAATGACGGTCTCGGCAGAGGCGTACGGGCACGTGCATCTTATCAATGTGTAGTTGTAGTGTAAGCTTCTTTAATATATATTTTTATATATTGTGATAAGCGTTGTTATGCCGGAATGCGAGCATTTAATAAGTTAACGAAACGACCCTGTCCGGTGCGGAGAGTGCGAGGTGTGAGGTGCGCGCCGCGACGCCTCGGCGACTTGCTGCACAGCAAGTTCTCTGCCCGCAGGCCCCCCCGCGCCCCCTGCGCACCCGCCCCCCCCCCCCCCGCACACACACACTCCGATTAGCGAGTGATTTTTATATTCGACTCTAGAATATGAAAATCTATTTCGACTAATGACATTGTATCGCTCCGGATTGTAAACTTTTAAAATTAACTCTTTGCCGATTCTTAGTTAAGTAAGCAGTAGACGATTCCCGGTTTAAAATGCCAGAGTGCGCTATGTATCGTAGAGTAGGATTTCATTCGATCACCCGACTGTCCGGTCGCCGCTTCATCTTCACCGTTTGCTTGTGAGCTGTGATGTTTTTATTAATCGATTATTTTATATCGCGTCTTTCTTCTTAGTATGTTTAGTAAATAAATAGAAGACTTGCATATAGAATAAATAAACAACGACAATCGCTCACCCGTGACCCACAAGGGTGGGCATTTAAAATACTTTAGACACATTCATATTTTCCGTTCTCCCAGTTAAACGATTCCCCCGCTATTTATTAGTTTAATTGTTTTTCACATCGCTCCGTTCGTTTGGTTAAAGTTCTCTATTCGCTTTAAGATGCATTAGCTTCATAGTAGATCTGTAACTTATGTAAGTACTTATGAAATAACCAGGTCGCACCGAGTGATGAGACGCGCCTTGCTGCGACCCGCGAGGAGTTATGGAACTGAGCTCGACAAACGTCTTCTCAAAACCAAAGATGAATCACAACTTTTAGATTTATTATTCGAAACGTATCACCGGAAATCGACGGAAATTCTACGTCCGCCCGAATCACTGAATGGTTCCAAAGCTCCTTCTTGTGTTGCAATACATTTATATCATTTAGGTGTAAAGTTTTAGTAAATTATTTCATACTTAAGTTAGATACTCGATTTTATTATATTTTATTTATTTGATATAAAGAAAAAACTAAATTATCTCGTTTTTTTTCACTTTTGAAGTGTTATACGCTTTTTACAATACCTCTTTGTTTACAATGTATTAAAATCATGTTAAACGCATATTTTATCATTCGCAGTCGGCAATACGTTTGGGTGCATTCCACGAGGAAGCGGTTTGTGTGTTGTGTAACTCGGTTTTTATGAAACGTAAACGTGTGCTGAGGCTGTCCTCCGGTGTTTGTGTCGGTCTCAACGAGACCATTCGCCTGTAGCATGCAATATGCAGCATGTAGCGTACACGTTAGCTCAAAGTGGCGATCGCCGGAGGTCGCAGAGCGCCCGCGACCGCCCGCGGACCGACAGGCTTGCCTTTGCACCAAGTGATTTAGTTTGTATTTACATCTTTTGTACGATGTATTTAATAAATGGAAAATGTTCGGAAGAGCGTTTCCTTGATTTTTATTTATTATAAAAATAAAATTATGAATTTAATTTGCTATGTGAGTATTTTTCATTTAATCCTTCCAATACGTCGTACCTGATAAGAAAAATTAAGTTTCAGTAAGACAAAGCTGGTTTAAGTTATAATTTTATTAGTAAATATATATTTAACGATAAACATACAGCCATAACTGTAACAATATATACAAATGATATAAAAACATCTACGACTTCATAATTTACAAAATATTACTACATTACATCGTGTGCTCCTATATTCGTTTTTAAAATACTAAAGCTGTGTTAAGGCTTTCTATATGATATGATGAATTTTAGATACAACACGGTGGGTTTCCACTGCTAAATCACATGTACAAACATTATTTTATTCAAAGAGGATCAGAGGGATGATAATGAAAATATACTATTTTGTAAGTCTCGTCAGTGGAAACCCACGGTAAGAAAGATTGATGAAGTACTATAATTATTTTTACATATCCTTCGTTGTCAATGTTGTGTAAATAAACACAATTGTAGAGACAATTTAATAAATCACATTTGACAGTACATCAAAATCAAACTTATCTGGGCCGGTAAAGGTGCTACTAAAGGTTCTGTCACGAAATATGTAAAAATTCTTTGAAACCATACTAAATCCATTCCATCCAATTGAATAATCCATTCTAAAAACAACTTCACAGACTTGCTATATGACAACCATTTCATGTAGTATTCTAATAAAAATATCCTTCAATTTTTAGCGTGAGTTTCAGAGACCAAAATCTCTATTTAAAACATATTGTTATCTCTGCTTTGTCAAAGATAATGACAGTGACGACGATATGTTTTTACGGAGGTTTTGGGCACAAAAACCCACGGTTAGTGCATTCTTTTAAACTAAGCTTAATAAGAAAGAATATGTAAATGATAAATTGTTCAATGTAATGATATTTTGGATTACATTTAACTTTGCAAATTAAATTAATAAATAATAACAGTTATAATCATAATATTATTACATTTCATTCAGTGATTTTACCTTCAATTACCAAAATTCATTGACTAATAATAAAGTCACCACTTGGTATGGAACAAAGCATCTATAAGTTACTCTATGTTAAAAAAAACTATACAATTTTATAATTCAATAATTAATTTAAACAATTTAATAAAACATACTGTTTATACAAAAATTAATTGATTAAAAAATTAATACGAATATATATTTCAATATTAACATTCTATTGACCACATATACTTCTTACTTCATTGAAATTCTTTCGTCATTTTTACTGACTAATGTTATCACAGATGTAATTTTGGATACAAAAACAATATATACATAACCTTATTTCACGGTTAAATATATGGTATAATATAAATATACATAAAACTAGAGATATTTAATACAGAACTCAAACACTTAGCATTATCTTTGTTCGAAGCCTGCTACTACAGATAGGAAGACCCAGTCTACTACTTCGTCTACCTTCTTTACCTTGCCTACATGTTACTATGGTGTTAATCAACCACAAATATATTTGTCTATTGTTATAAACTGTTTCTAATTAGAGAAATTCAAAACATATATTGTGCAAAATCTCTATGGTTTAGCATATCTCTGTAAACATGCAAGGAATATTGTCGAATTTAAGTATCTTTTAGCTCTACTTTTATTGCATTAGTGTTATTGTAAAACAACAATTGGTAATTAAATATTCTTCACAGTAAGGCTACATCATAGTCCGTCGTAAGTCGATATGGAATCACTAGAATGTTGGTCTAAAGTTGCATTAACACCATTTTCTTTAACACTCGATGAGGTTCTGGAAATAATTTAAAATATTAATTGCCATATTTAGGCACAAGTAATATGTTAACACATTCAATGCTATAAGATTTATGCGTACGAAAGTGAACTAGTTGTAAGAGTTTGTGGAATAGAACGTGTTAAAAGTAAATGTTGGCAAATGAACAGTAAAAACTGTTAGTCTGTCTGTATAATTAGTTGAATAAATTACCCAAAAAATGGTAGTAACGTGATGAGTTGAGCACGACTGGTGCACTCGCGAAGTTCTGGCAACACCAGCAGAACGTGCCGGAGGTACGCCTGCAACGCCAGCCGCCGCTTTTCCACGAGGTTAGCATCCTGGAAAATATATGATCATTAACTGGACTTCTGCGTACTAATGCAGAGTGAGTTTGTAGCATTTAAAGTATTAAGTCTCCGTGATAAAATAAATCAAAAACTCATAATTTATTTTTATTCTTAATAACTATGTCAATAAACTTCATATTATCAGCATATGACAAATCTGATTAATTGAATAGATAAACCGTTTTTCTCCTTTCGGGGTAGGAGCCCTAAAAAACGCGCGAAATGAAAGTCTGGTCTCTGCTTAAATATCTCTTGTGTAAAAAACACTTACTCGTTTCCTAAGCGTCTTCTTTGGTGGGAATTTATAATTAGCTATATCCGGATGGCATTTCTTTAGCTGCGTGTGGAGTTCATGGAACTTTGCGTATCTGTGATACACATTCCACTCTTCAAGGCCTACTTTGATAAAAATCTGCAACATGAATTTCCTCTTTGCATTTGAAGTTGAATTTAATTGCAAAAATTATATGAAGTATTAAAAGTTAAAGTATTAATGTAGAATTTTCTCGGTATGCTACATTTCAATTCAATATTTAAAAATAATTTAAAATAAGTTTTTAATTACCTGGTACACGTGGTACGAATGAGTTCTTTTTCCAACTAAGAATGCACTTGGAATAAACACTTTTACATTTGATTCAGGGTAATCTAAAATCTCTAACCCTGATGCACTTTCCAGGTCTTGTAGCCGTCTTTGCAAATGCTGATTAAATTCCATGAGTTCTGCATGCATTTCTGCAACCTACAAAAAAACTTATAAAGTAAATTGTGACCTCTATAGTTCGTAGGAAAAAAATGTTTCATAAGACTTTTTACTCTCTGTTGTAATTTTTGTTTGTTTTATATCTTCTTTGGACTGTATAACTATTATTTTTATTTTAGTACATAGACGAGGTCATTTTTGTTCACTCACTTGCACAAGTTTCTTTTCATAAGAACTTATTTCTTCATCATGTTCGCTGCCATTTTTCAAGGCTATACCAGTTTCTACGGCCGACATGTAACGCCTTAGTTGGTCTTTTAGCCTTTCGTTCTCCCTGAAAAACATTTCGTTATTTATATTTTAGAAAGATATAGTTAAAATAGTGAATTATAGTCTTAGAAATATTCCCTATTTCCTTACTTGTTTAGGTCCCCAACAGTTTTCTCCAATTTCTGCACTTTCTCTTTGCTACTCAGTTCAAACTGATTGAATTTGATTTGTAAATCTAAATACTCTTTTTCCCTATGATCTAAAATAGAACTAACTCTTTTCTCATCACTACCTCCTTCATCTTCTGTGAAACAAAGTTCCAAACATGATGTGCTGCCGTCTATACTGCCCGCAACTTCCTCACTATCACTCTCATATATTTTCAAGCAATTTACACTTAAATCTGATACATTATCATCTTTGGATACATTATTTCTATCTATACTACTGGAAGATGAGAATATTTCTTTAGCACATTCCGACAGTCTTGTAAGAATTTGTGACGGACTGTCAATTCCTTTAACACTGTCAGGAAAGAAGTGACGTATACCACTTTTGTACTCCGAACTGGTTGGTTCACTTGCTGATGTTAACTGAGGAATTATTACAGGATCTGGAGAATTAAGACATGTAGGAGGGGCACTGTTCCATAATGTAGAAGTTTGAGAAACAGGATTTATTGTTTTGTTTATATTTTTCCTGTCATTTTGTTCCTCAAATGTTATAACTTGACGTATAGGCTTCCTGTTAACATTTCCTGATGCTTTAATTGGGGTGGGCAGAGGAATGACATGCTCCGGTTTTGTTGTTTGAGTTATTTGTTGTGAATCATTGAGTATAGCTTTGTCTATTGATAAAGCAAATAAAATTGTTGATAAACCTAAAATAATAATTATTGTTAGTTATTTCTTATCTTGATATGCTGCCTGGAAATATATATTGATTTTTTAGATAACAGTTCTGGTTGGTGTGCGAGGCATGGTGTTCATATATGTAAACATATTTTGTATATAAATGGTGCAAATACTTTTGAATGTAATCAAAATAAAAAATCATACCAGCGGCAATATCAGGCAGTAAATTAGCTTCACTAGTTCTGACCAAAGCATCTTCTTCATAATATTCTGATAAAAGCCCATGGCTTATCCAACTTTGCAAATATCTACAAAAAACAAATTATTCTGATTATATAATTAGAATGATTTCTAAATATAAATATTAACATCTGCAGCTGAGATTATAATTTGAAATTTAAAATGATAAATAACACTCTTTCTTATTTATCTTAATTGTTATATTAAATACCCACCCCACATAAACATAAGATCTCTCCATGAGCCACTGACTCGTGAGCAACTACTGTTCTTGGGAAACCCTTCTCCATGTCAGTCCTCCAGGGCCTCGCTGGAGTATTACACATATAACTTTAAATAAATGATTTATATATACCTCTCTAAAGATCGCTCATTTAGTGCTGCTCTTATGAATGCTCTAAAATAACCTAATGGAGTGTTGATATTGGATAGAATCTTAAACCTTTCTTTTTCATGTTTAGTTAGATGTAGACAACAGTAGCTCCAAAGTGTGTTACCTAAAATTAACTCTTGTTTAATTCATTATTCATTTCATAAATAAATAAATTATAATTAAAAATATAATAATAACATTAAATAATCAAAATAATTTTATTCTTACCAACATTAATAATATTAAATGTGAAGTTTAAACCAGCAGAAACCAAGTTCTGTATTGTAGAATTTGATAAATTTGTTTTGATTCCATGACTAAGTATTTTTTCCCATTTTTCACACAGTTGAACTATTCTAAAATTTAAAAGGCATTGGCATAATTCTAATATGATATCTAAATCATATATTATAATAACATAAACAGTATGTTGTGTTATGTCAAATAACTTTTTACCATTTTTTTGTGACAAGGCCAGGTATAAATAAATAATAGAGAAATCAAATAAAAGCTGATGAAAGAAGTTTACGTTCAATTTATAAAAATGACACATAATTTTACCTTAAATCATCTTCTGTTGCAAGTTCAGATTTTCCACCAAAACGGTTTTTGCAATTATCAACACAAGTTTGTAATTCTTGCAGAATTTGTTGCCCTGTCTCTGTCCTCTTTTTCAATTCTTCTCTGTTTTCTATAGCATTAGCAATTGTGTTCAATATCTTACTATTCTGAAACAATATGTGATACACTTCAGTTGAACAATTATAACAACATACAAATAATGGGCGGATCCATTGTTAACATTGAAGTGTAAGTGTTACAGTAAAGGTATTTTTAGATAATTATTTTAAACATTGAAATTATGACTATATAATAATTTTAAGAATGTATAGTCCTACCATATTTAGTTTCTTTACTCTAATTTATATTGGTCAAGGTAATTGTAAAGAGTTAGCTCAAAATAAAACTTTTACAATATGTTATGCGTAATATTACGGATATTCATAGAGAAAATCACATTTAAATGAATATCCGTTAAATCATGTGAGCTCTAAAAACAACACAAATATTCAACATAATTAAATTTTCACTTACCATGGCTTAATTAAAAACTAGTTAGCATAATCACATTAAGTTAATAGAATTATGATAAATTAAAGAAAATTATTACTTTTTGAAGTATTATACATCATATATGTATTTAACACACCATATCTCGGTATAATTGGATATTTCAAATTAAACAATAAAAATTACGACTGGACAATATTTACGATTTACGTCTTGTGTGACTTAATGTGACAGACAGTGACAGCTTGATTTGATTAATCTTGGCAAGAGCTTGACACTTGACATCATGTTTTATACTGCTTTTATAGCAAAAAAATCAAGGAGCAGAATTCTAAACTGAAAAAGGACTAAAATGAAAGGGTAATAAAATCATATTCATTTTTACCAAAAAGACTAATTTTATTCACATTATAATCTGAGGGCCGAATGTTTTAATAAAATAGTTGTCTATAGTCAGTTATAGTCTGCGGTGGCTGCGTCATCCTCCGAATAACAAAATGGCGAATTCTATTTCGTCTTTTTGAAGTGTTGTTTCATTTGCATCGCTTCGTACAATTCTATTTCTAATTTTCTAATTGTTGTATAAAAGTAATTCCATGTTTTTTTAACTTTCAGTCGTGTGACAAAAACAATTGGTTTATTTTTAATTCCTGATCATACTTTGATTTTGGTTTAGTTGTGAGGATATCATGAGTAATTACGATGACGACCAAAGTGAAGACGGAGAATTAGCACGCAGCCCTATACATGATGAAATGGATTTTAGGTTGGCGTTCTGTATTAGATATAAATTAACAGTGATTTAAGTGTAAAATGTGCCAATTTTCTTACATACGATTGTGTGATGTGCGTTTTATTGAATAAAAAGGCTGGTTTTCCCCATTGATGTTTTCTAATATTTGTTGTTTTTTACTTCCGTAGCTTATCTGATGAGGACAGAGACAATGCTGACTCATTGATAATTAAACCTCCTCAAGCCGTGATTCGACCTTCACATAGGGACAAAAGAAATCACAAACGTTCAGGAAAAGAGAGATACAAGGAAATAGCATCAAGAAAAGAAAAAAAACATTTCTATAGGTAACATTTAGTTATTTCATACATTTTAATAAATTTAAATCTCATCAATATGTGTTGACAGTTGTATAACAGTATAATGTATTTTTTCAAATAGGGAACGTGATAAGTCTGATAAATCTAAGCGTGGAGAGGTACCAAAAAACTTGGAACGTGAAGATATGACGAAAGAGTATTATAGAGAAAAACAGTACTACAGAGAAAAGGATCCATATCGGGAAAAGGACATGAGGGAAAAAGAATTATACCATGAAAGGGAAATGTACAGAGAAAAGGATGTGTATAGAGAAAAGGATCCTTACAGGGAACGAGAACATTATAGGGAAAGGGAAATGTACAGGGAGAATCCTTCATACCGTGAAGCACCACGGCAAAGAGATGTATACAGGGGAAAGGAAATGTATAAAGAAAAAGATGTCCAGAGGGAACGTGAAATGTATTTAAGTCGCGAAAGACAAAAATATGCAGATATTGAGAGAAAACGTTATGAAGCAGAAAAAATTGAATCTAGGTTAAGGGTATTAGCTGAAGAAAATAGACCTAATCATAATAATGAGAAAGAAAATAGAGATAGAACCTCCGGTGATAAAGAGCTAGAAGATTTACGGACAAGATTACTTAGTAAAAGAATATCTAAAGAATTACAAAATCAAGACAACAAGAAACAGTCTGATTATACTGATAAAGAATCGAAATCTGATGATCGTCAAAGACATTCATCATCATTGGATAGACATCAACAAGAAAGAAGAAAACGATTGCTAGAAGCTGGTAGGTTATTTATATAAAGTTCTCTTTAATTAATTATGAACAGTATACTTTATTAAGTTTACTGAACATAAACATTTTTTTAATCTTCATAAAAGAATTATATATATTTAAAATAATAATTATTTGGTTATAAAGTGATTGTATTTTACAGAAAAAGAAATGGAAAAACGAAAACATGAATCACGGACGGAATTAGAAGCTCGACGTGAGGAGCGTCGTCGTCGTGGAAAGAAACGATCAGTTTCACCAGATGATGTTGCTAACAAGAAAAAGCGACAACAATCCCCTAACTATGATTCTGTTGTGACGGTATCAGATGCAAGTGACACAGACATGAAAAGTGATTCAGTTCATTCAGAACCTGAAGAAGGTAAGTCTTATTGTTCTAACATTAAAAATAAATGTACAGTCAGCTTTATTGGTGGTATTCTAGTTACTGAATAGCAGGATGTAGGCTAATGTTACAAATTTTTTAAATAAAATTGTTTTAGGTGAACATTCAAATAGTGAGACTGAAGAAGACAGTACCACAGATTCAGATTCTGATGCTGAATCCAAATCAGCAGAAGATGATGATCATGAAGAAAAATCTGAAAAGGAAGATAGAAGTGACAAAGAGGAAGAAGTGGAGAAAACAAGACATAAATCCAAATCAAAATCTAAATCCAAATCACCCTCACCTAAATCAGTTCACAGAAGTCCATCATCTCATGGATCTAGAAGGTATATTTATGATAGTCTAGAAGTTTCTGGTGTTGTTTTTGATTTTTGAAAGTGTGATTTAATTCACACTTGAATATTGATGATTAGTAGAAAATATGAAAAGATACATTTTTATTATGTTTAAAGTACATATAATTAGTTTTTAATATTGTATTTAGTGTAAACGTTTTTCTATTTATGTTTTCAGATCTAACTCTAGATCAAAAAGCAGAAGTAGATCTCATTCATTTTCACCGCCACCTACTGGTGAGAATGGAAAAGCATCTACTGAAGAAGAGAAAGTGGAAGATGATGATGATGAAAAAATTAAATTAAAAGAAGAAGCCATCAACTCACTGCCACCATACTTCCCTGCTTTACAGGTAAAAACTATAATTATGTAAAAATATTTCATTCAACTATAATTTGTTCTTGTCTTTGTGTTTATACATGTAGTTTTATAACCTTTATTTTATAAATAAATGAGTTCATGTAAAAAAATAAAAAAATAATTAGTGTAAGGATTTTGAAGAAAAAAAATGTACAATATGTTAAAATGTAAGTATTTATATTTTGAGAAATAAAAGAAATGTTTTTATGGATAGCGCAGTGCATTTGACAGTTGATGCAAAGTATTTTCCTGTGTTACTAACAATATTAATTTTATAGGGATGTCGATCAGTTGAGGAGTTTCAATGTCTGAATAGAATTGAAGAAGGCACATATGGAGTTGTTTACAGAGCTCGCGATAAAACCACTGAAGAAATAGTGGCTTTGAAACGTTTAAAAATGGAAAAGGAGAAGGAAGGTTTCCCTATCACTTCGCTGAGGGAGATCAACACATTACTTAAGGTAGGATCACAATCTCTTTTTATTTTCTGTTGTAAGCTCACTTGAGCCATCGTAATGCGTGAGTGCTCACATTTAAAGGTATACTTTTACAACTTTATCATCTTATCATAACCTAAGCAGGTTGTTTGAGCCACGAGCTGTAAGCACTCGATGGCTCATGTGTGTCTGTCACATTATTAATGCCTTGTATTTTATTCCTACAGGCCCGGCACCTCTTACCTGAAGAGGGTTGTGCTAGAGGTGTGACCCCATTGCAAGGGTTAACAACTTCGATACACGGGCGGGCCTAAGTATCTTATAAGGGATTTATTCCAGGGGGGAAACCATATCTCCAATACTTTCTACTTCTTTTGTGTCCAAACGTCATGTGCATTGGAAAGCAATTCTTTTAAATGGTACATCTAGATAAAAGTTTAAACATCGAAGGTTTGTTGAGAAAGCGATGCATTTATATAAAATATCTTCCATATATAAAGTGAATGTCTACTGTCATCAGAATTAAGGTAAATTTTATTACCATAAATATTACTGTTACTTAACACATTCCATGCCACAATGATTTTCTCGTATGAATGTGAACTTCCTTGACGAGTTGTTGGCACTGAAAGTGTTATTGGCAAGCTATAACCAATTTATTTTATTTTTATTGTATTCACAATGCGTCATTTGACAGAAAAATAATCTTAGACGTATCTTTTTATAGGCATTGAATGGGATAAGCATGACACAAAACATACATCTTAATTTATTTTAACTGTTGTTTTAACATTATTAAGTGTTTAATTATGTATATTTGGGTTACATATAATATTGGAAAACAATGTAAGTCTATTTGAACGTCTTTGTTATATTTAAGAACTAATTGCTTATCAATTTTATATGCCTTATTTATATAAAGGTTTTGTATAAGATAAAATTACGGAACTATTTTGGGAGGATTTTTATAACATGTTTTATTGACGCGTTATAAAAATACTGATATTTACGTTTTTGTAGTTTCCGTGATGAGTGAATTGTGTTTTATATTGAATTGTTTCAAAGCAAACTACTAATAATTGCAGTTCATTGGACATCTACAGTTTCACCAATCACGGTATTAAACAATACTGTATAATCATACATAATGGCTTACAGAATGTAACCATTTCATTGGGACAGAAGATTACTGCATGAAAAAATGGAGATATATTAGAATAATTAGATACAATAAAAACAGAAATATGTTTCTCACAGATTATAAAGAAGTAAATTTGTATCAGAGAAGATAAAGATATTTTGGGACAGCAAAAGGCGAGTACAGTGGACATTTAAATTTGCACAATATTACTGTGACATCATAATTCAAAATATTTATGAAAGGAAACCTTGGGAACTGGGAGAGGAACTACATTCATTAGTGACAAAATAGAATTTGCTTAAAATAAGCAATATCATTTTCGTTTAAAAATGCCTACTTTAGTAATAATGATGATTAATGAACGATTATGATACCGGAATTTCCTGAAAATATTTGAAATGTTAAGTAAAACTTAATATCAGTTAAAGTATTCACATAAAACAGTAATATAATTAAATAATAAATACCCAAGAAGGGCATTATTTACTATGATTTACCAATTTTATGCCAAATCATCCAATAACTCTCATACTTGTAGAAAAAACAGAGATAATCATGATTTTGTGCTTTAATGTTTGATTGTTTGCAGTAGAAACCCACAGTTATCAAACAATACTACAACTCTTAGTTGTAACTACAACTTCTTGAGTGTTTCTTTTACAATATTGCCATTACTTGGGACTTTATCCCTTATAAAGGATATACCATTTAATTGTCGTAGCTCAATTGAGAGAAGTGATAGATCATTAATTTCAGTCGTAGCTCAGTTGAGAGATGTGATATTTCCTTTAACGGAACTTTTGGCTCAATTGTGATGTGATATCATTTAATCGCGATCGTAGCTCATTTCAGATATGAGATATGACATTAATTTTCAGTTGTAGGTCACTTTTGATCAGTAAGATCATTTGATTACCTTTGTAGCTCAGTTCAGAGATGTGATATGTAACTTTATTGCCATTGTAGTTAAGTTGTGAGATATGATATTTTATTTAATTGCCGTTGTTGCTCAGTTGAGACTTGTCAGGTAATTTAATGGCAGTTGTAGCTTACTTGTGATATTTAATTCCTATTGTGGCTCAGATGAGTTGTTATACGTCATTTAATTGTGTGCTCCATTGTGATGTGATATGCCAGTCATTTCCGTTGTAGCTAAGTTGAGAGATATCATTTAATTGCCATTAAAGCTCAACTGAGCGATGTAATGTTATCTTATTGCCGTTGTAGCTAGTTTTTAAATGTAGTAGGTCATTTTATTGCCTGAACTGTTGGGTGTCCATATAGATATAATAGGTGTCCTATTACCGATTATATTGCTCAGCCGATAATTAATTTTTTTTATGTATAAGCTTGCAATTTATATGCAGAGACTATCAGGGACCGGCAGATACACAGTGAAATGTGTGCACTTTTTTATTTTTCTTGGACTGGCGCAAATTTATATAAATGCCGTAGAATGTTCACATTAAAGATAAAATTTTGGATCTAGGTAAATCAATGTGGCGTTTTTATAGTAAAGATCAGTAGGTTATCGATAGGTTTCGATGAATTCAAAAATAGGTTTGTGACTTTATGGCGAAACCTCAAGACGCCATTAAATTTAAGGGAGGATTTCTTTTTAATTTACCCAACAATGCTTCTCCAAATTGTGGAAATAAATATGACATGAAAAATTTAAGACGAAAATGATCTGGTATTGGCCAATACCTGCTCTTATTAAGGTTATGTTTCGCAAACCTTTGGTAATGTTAGTACAAAAATAATTGCGCCTCAGTATGCCAAGGTATTTGATACATTGATTAGTTACATATTTCTCCTGGATTCCCTTTGACTCTACCTTTGTGGTCCATCGACCCTACGACTATGATTTTTTTATCATGTCCCGAAAAACTATTATGCGTTTATTCATTTTAAAATCATTAAAGTAAGAGTTGATATTCAAAAACTGTTCTGAAACATCGTAATAATGGAAAATGTAAAGTCGTGTATATGTCCACTGTACTTTAAGAATTATTTATTGAAAATCAAGAAACATGTAGTCATATGACATTTTACAATGTATGTTAGATATTTAAGAACATATTTTCTCTATATAATTTCATAAAACATAAAATGTTATAATACTTCTGTGTCATGCTAATCCTACAATACGTACTTGTTTTAATTTTTCAGCTAATAATAACAAATTAAGTGCTTAAGTATATTTAAGTGTTTTCATTTGTTGTAGATATTTAATGACTAAAAACTGTCTCATGTAAAATGTTAACTAGATTGTAATTTTTAATCTTCTATTTGTAATTTATTAACATTCTTCTGAATTTAATTCGGTTACTGTTTTTTCACATATTTAATTATTTAAGAGTATAGACCTGGTCCAAAGGTCTACTTGTCTTTTACCAGGTAATTAACAATGTATTTGTAATTCAGGAACTTATATAGTTCTTCTTCAGGCTAAAGCAATTGCAAAAATTGTACTGTTTAGGATTCAAAACTCGTCATTTTACATAAGTAAATAATTTTCTAAAATTATTAAAACAAAAGTACACTAATTAATTTAAAATCCAATAAAATATTATGGTGTCAAGTAATGAAAAGTAAATTAGTTTGTCAACCATGGTTTATTGGATAATAGCTTGTTTCCGGAACTTCATTAGTGTTGAATTAAAAAAGTAGCCTCTGTTACTCCCGCATATATATATCATATATACCGCATATATATACATCAGATCAACCAGTAAAGTCCAGTTATTATGGGTCCACCAGTTTCAGTGATTACCCAGAACAAACAGAGACTTCCAGACAGACAAATATTCATTAAAGACATTCCAATTTTAACTTGATACGCAGATAAGGAGCATTTTTAGTAGCGAACAATCTAGGAATATTTATATTTTGAAGGAAACCGAGACAGTTAGTGAATCATTGAAAAGTACTTTGGTTTTTCTAAATCATTGTTCTGATAATTCAAATGTTATTATGTTGTTCTGCTTCTCTAGTTTTGTTGATACTGTTTTTATATGACTATTCATACATTTGTTCCTTTTTAGGTATTCTACATCATTGCTGCTTAATTAGCCTTGATTTGGAGAGTGAATAATGTTATTTGTAACTTTTAATGTAATCTATATGGCGATTATTCATGAGTTAAGATATTTTTAACTTACAAATTAATATTTATAGAGGTCTTTGAAAGTAAGTTTGTAAAAGCATTACTAAAACTTTTAGAATATCGACGATTTGAAAGGGTTTAGTAATAACAATTTAATGGGTTAGCCGAGTGAGATGGGACCTTTTAGTATTAAACTATAGTAAATTTATGAAATAAAAGATATAATTTTTCATGAAAAGTTATACAAAAATTATTTTACATGAGACAAGTTTTTAGAATCAAAATATTATACTTTTAACTATAGTTATCTTGTTATTACATTGGACTTTGTGAATTCAATATTTACGAAAAAAAATATTTTTTATATTTGCATCGCCATCTCAAACAATACTTTCGATGTTTTTAATATTTTTAAGTATTGCGGCTTTACACGTTACAATATTTTCTATATCTTAAATTAGGTTATTTTGTTATGTGCAAAGCTCTTTTTTGTAACCTGTGATGATGGAGATTTCTGTTTAAAGAGTTTAAACAAACCGTTGGTTAATATTTTATGTATATAAGTTTGCATATTGTATAATGTCATTTTACATATTTGTACAAAGAAATGAATTTGCGATCCTCACAATGAATATTGCGCAGCAATATAATTTAGCAAAATGTATGTTGACATGAACATTTTTGACCTTATTTCGTCGTAGAGGCTATGAAAGACGAAAGTATTGCGCTCACGGCATATTTATTTGTCACAAACGTATACGTTGATTAATTATATTGATTATTTATATTTTTAAACAATAAAAAATGGCGACCTTTGGATAGTAAAGGTATCTACGGATCGACCATCGCAGGTGAAAAGTGACCACGACAAATATTCCGTCCTCAATCTTATGGATTGGCTGTAACAGTATTTTACAGACACACTATTATTTCTACGAAAAGTAAAATAACTTGTTGAATTGAAATGAAGAATCGGGTTTGACTCGATGATCAGTCGACGACTGCTATAAACAAGTTTTGTTTAGAAAGAGCGACGAAGAGATTACTTATTTTTAAACAAAAAAATAAATAAATTTAAAAGTGACTTAAAAAAGGTAAATGAGAATGCGTCAGACAGTTTTAGAAATCGGTTATTATCTTTGCGTACAAGAAAAGGTGTTTATTTTTTATGTCTGTAGTCTATTACTGAATTACTAATAAAATATTTTTTGTTAAATAATTTCTTCTGCAGAATATTATAAAGATATTTGTCTCCGCACGGTTGGTCGCTGCGTGTCCCGGGCACGCTCACATCTAACGAGTCGCACGTTGCGGTCGCTTGTTGCAGGGCCAGCACCCTAACATCGTCACCGTGCGGGAGATCGTCGTCGGCTCCAACATGGACAAGATCTTCATCGTCATGGACTACGTCGAGCACGACCTCAAGAGCCTCATGGAGACGATGCGGGGGAAGAAACAAGTCTTTCTACCTGGTTAGTTAAGCAGATTTTAAGTTAATTGAAATTAGTATAACAGTTTCATGATTTATGACCCATGTTATCTTTTCTAGGTGAGATAAAATGTCTAATGACACAACTGTTGAAGGCAGTACATCACCTGCACGACAACTGGATATTGCACAGAGATCTTAAAACAAGTAACCTTCTGCTATCACACAAAGGAGTGTTAAAGGTAATTATATCGGATTTTTTTTTCCCACTAAATGTACTTTAAAACTTGTGTGCTCTTGAAAATCTGTATTCATTATATTTGTGTTGATGTAACTTTGTATATTATTTCAAGGTGGGAGACTTCGGTCTGGCACGTGAGTACGGCTCGCCGCTCCGGCAGTACACACCCATCGTGGTGACGCTGTGGTACCGCGCGCCGGAGCTGCTGCTCTGCTGCAAGGAGTACTCTACACCCATCGACATGTGGAGTGTCGGCTGTATATTCGCTGAATTCATTACAATGAACCCATTATTCCCCGGAAAGTCTGAAGTCGATCAGCTGAATCGAATATTCAAGGTAAAATTTGAACCATATTTTAAATAAGTATTATTTGTGTTAAAATAACTTTTATTCACGTGTCATGTAATTTAAATAATAACAGGATCTTGGTACTCCGTCCGAGTTGCTATGGCCGGGATACAACGAGCTGCCCGCGGTGCAAAAGATGACGTTCGCGGAGCACCCGCCGGGCGGACTGCGCCAGCGCATCGGGTCCGACCTACTCTCCGAAGCTGGTTTGTCGCTACTGCAAGGATTTCTTACATACAACCCCGCCCGAAGACTAACGGCTGATGCGGCGTTAGAACATACCTATTTTAAGGTAACAAGGTTTTTATTAGATATTATTTTGTTAGAAACAGTTGAATTAAAAAAAATCCCCTAGTTGCTGGATTTCACTGGTTAATTTTGTTGTAGGAGCAACCGGTAGCGATAGACCCGGCGATGTTCCCGACGTGGCCGGCCAAGTCTGAGGGCAACCGGCGCACGACGCACAGCCCGCGCCCACCCGCCGGCGGCGCTGCGTACGCGCAGTACGCTCGCTCCGACTCCGACGACACGGTCGGCTTCCAGCTGCACGCGCGCTCGCTTAACGTCGCCCCAGGCTTCTCGCTCAAATTCTAAACCAACACGCACCTTTATCGAAAGTGATGGAGGGGAGACGGATTTGACGGGGGAGGGAATGTATAAGAAAGAGAAATATTTCTTTTTATACATCATCTCTGTCCGTTACAGGTTAACAATGCATCTGCAAATTTTTGACTAATTGCAGATGTTTATGGAAAGTGGCCACTTAGTTATTTCAGCAATGTCGATGGCCGCTTGCCCGTATACCACCTTCTCTATTAAAAAAAATAAAAAAATCAACAAACCTCATTCTCTGTAAATGACTGTATTTAAAGTGAACAAGAGCTTGAAAAAGTATAGTTTACTATATTTCAAAAACATGTTTCTTCTAATATTAACGTTAACAGTGTATAAATCAGCATTCTTTTTATTTCTATAAAAGGAATCTAAAAAAAGGTGAAAATACAAGAAAATGTGGTGTAGTGAATTACGCATAAAAAATCTATACTTATGTAAACTAATGTATACAAAAATATAAAAAAACCTAAAAAGTAAGTCCATACATCTTGGACAAAAAAAAATGTTTAAAATGCAAAAAAATTTAAACTTACCCGTTAATGTTTATGAAAACCAATGATGAAAATATGGAATTGTTTAAAAAATATATATTTTTCGGCATCTTGCTCAATAAAAATAGTTTTTGTTTGTATCAATAAAGAAATTGTCAAGGAATAGTAAACAATTAATTTAATCTGTCAACTTTTGTCTGATTTCTCGGAATTACATTATTATAATAAAATGTTTGTTACACCTGTTAAAGTAATATTTGTAATTTATGTATTTAGTCAATGTTTAGCAAAGTTAGCTAATATGGAGTGTATGATATTTGATTATCATCTTTGCCTAATTTAGATTTTATTTTCCATATATGTACAAAAAGTCAATTGCAAAAATTATAATTTTATTTGTAACCAGCGTATGGCAATATAATAATAATATGTCTGTTCTCTAGACATATTGGTCAATCGATGATAGGTTAAAATAAATGTTTGCCATAACTTCTTTAGACTTTTTTCATTACGATTACAAAGAAAAAAGAAATCTATATTTTTAGATTTTTAAAAATCATCAATGTTCAAGGCTCGATTTTTTTACTAATAACAGTGTACATACCGTTAAACCCACAGGATGTTTCTCTACAGGTATTTTGGTGGACACGTATGATAAAACCTAGACTTTATCCCAAATGAGTTTAAACTCGTTACATCTCGCTAAACTGATTAACCAAGATAATATCGATTAATCGATTAATTGTACATACAAAATAAAACACTGCTGAATTTATATGGAATTCTTGATAATGACATATTTTTTGTAATTTATTAAATGTACGAAACATTTACTGTGAAGTAAGTGTCGTGTAACACTGGATATTGTTCTTTCAATAATACTGTTGTTACAATTCTGAAAATAGTACCAAATCATTTGAGTGCGAATGTAAACGTGGTTTGATGTATGTAGGTATTTGTAAAATAAATTTAAATTTATACAAAAAGTTTTGTATTTTAATGAAATTCCCTTTTCACAGTTATTTAGATTTTTCTAGATAAGCATCATAATATTTGAGATGTTAAGAAAGTGATAAAAGTGCTAATTAATAAACGATAAGTAAAAGCAGACTATTTTTGTGGGTAAAGAAAATATACACAAGTGAGGAAACCTGCACATATGCACAGAAATTTAAAGCCGCCACTAATTTGAAGTATTCTCGAGTCTCGCGGTGACGATAAGGAAATCAAAAAAAGTATATAGCAGGTAAATATAACAAGTTCGTGAAAAAGTCAACTTTTAACAGTGTTATCGATTTATTAGAAGACATTAACAAGGTACGAGGCTAGTTAATTAGGGCATTTAGCGTCCGGCTTCGTTCATGCCCTTCGGCAACGCGAGCAGCGAGTTGATGAGATCCGCGTTGCGTTTCCACGTGCGGTACTTAGTGTCGATGAGCGCGTTAGTCTCGATCACCAGCCGGCCAACACCATTACCTCGGTTACTGTACGCGTTCACCATCGAATGTATGTGACGCACGTACTGAAAGTAATGCTACAAATTAATTGTACATTAATCTACGTTCAAGTAATCAAAATTCATATAATAAGAGAAATAATCTTACTAATATTATAAATGCGAAAGTTTAGATGGACTGATTTTTGTTAGAAGGTGTCTCCGGATCTTGATAAAATTTGGTACAGATGTAGAACATAGTCTGGAAGAACACATAGGTTACTTATTCGGTTTTTATTTCTCCGCGCAGACGGAGTTGCGGGCGAGTTAGTACCAACATATAACAAAGAAAATAGATTTTATTTGTTACACTTGAAAAGTCAAATTGAGAATTACGTTAGTATTGTCTATGAAAAATCCAGATGACATATTAAGTTCTTGTACATATGCTACGGCTTTTGAAACTCAAAGTAGATTTTATTATCTCAATAAGTTTGCGACATTTACCATATCATATCTTGATAAAATATCACAATCAATGCGTAGGAGCCATGGAAGCATGAAACTAGCAAACGAGTAAACTGTCACTTGAATATAAACACCGTCCTATATATTTTTAACATTTAGATCACATCAGATAACAGCCGATATTTTGATAATATATGTACATGTACATCTATTATATCGTTATTATTTAGATAAGTTAGAACTTACTGTTCCATAACATATTTTTATAGAAATTGTAAAAGAATCACAATTTGTCGATACTTTGAAGACAATAAATATATGTTTCTTTTTATAGCTTTCCCTTACATTAATTCGCTCACGTTTTTATTACAAACAGAGGCATTAGACATTTACATAATTGTACTAAAATTTTATTTCATTGTTGGCCATACGATAAAAGTATAAGTATGTATATTAAGTACCGACAACCTACAAATATTATAATCTTTTTTACATTTACTTCGAGTGAAATGGAGAAATAATCACACCAGTCACCTAGAAGGATAGGCAGCGCTAATGCTTTTATACTATTGTGATTCCATCTTCTTCCTTCAATAACGGTTTGTTTCCCCAGATCAAACACACACAAAAACATGTCATCTCATCCCATTCTCATTCCCGTTTAAAAAACTAATTTCATTTTAATATATTAATAAGTTTTTAGTACAGGTGCTTCGACAGTCGACTCCCATAGTAAATTGAGGCAACTCTATTAAAACTATGGGATAATGAAATTATATTTAATTAATTAATCTTAGGGCGTGTAATACCTGTTCGTAAATAAAGTATGGAAGTGTGTCAAATACCTCCTTGTTGACTAGGTAAGGTGTAAAATTTACGTCTGTCTTGATATTGTATAGCGACACTTGTGGCAGAAGAGCAACTAACATCACATAAGCCAACGTGCGCCATGTTGTTCTCATTCTGAAACAATTGATATTGACTATAAAACACATAATACAAATTGCCACATACCGCGGGGTGCTTAATATAATTTAGTTGAACTTTATTGTGCTAAACCATTTGAGTTAAACATAACAAATATTTAATTAATAGTTGTAATTTTTCGTATTTAATGTCAAATTTATTTAGTAAAGCTCAAAAAACATACAGATGAATTAAGAACCTCCTTATTTCGGTTAATAAGTTAGTGACGTTAAACTAGGTATTGATTGAGACTAATATTTTGTGATACACAATCATTTTAGAGATCTGGATTTATCTTTAATAATATTCACATCTATGATCTAAGTTTCGTTACATTACTATAATATTTAGTTAGCACTTGAAATTTTAATAATAACACTGAAAAACATGTAAGATTCAGGATACGTATTCAATTCCCCATACGTTATTTTTTATTGCACATTCGAATCTCTGATTATCTGCCTTCATTCACGGTCGCAATTATTTTAAACTTATTTAATTTTGCAATTTTATTTAAACTAATTTAAACATAATTTGGCAGAGAACATTTTTTGTCACGGGATTTAATTATAAATTAGAATTACCTTATATTAAACACGACAAAATTGAAAAACTCCACAGATTCTGAAGGTAAATTTTGAATATGGCGCGAAAAAACAATTCAGTTGTTTGTACGGTTGTTTGTGGTTGAATGAGAGAGTGCATGGCGGGAGTTCCGAGGCGCGAGCGGTGTTTGGCTCTGGTGGGCGGATGAGGTAATCTAGGGTTGGGGTGGGCCCACCGCCGAGGAGCGCTCGGGCGTAACGTGCCACGCTGTTTGCGACAGCCCTGCCGCGATACGCAGCCCTGACGTCTCGCAAACCTTCCTTTACTTGCGTGTTTTTATGTATTTATAGACAACTTCGACACAATTTATCTGATGTGCGCCAATGGCTTATTATAACCTCGTTTATGAAGTACGTTTCAATTATTTTACTCAATAAAAAGTTTAGAAAATGTTCATTTTTAGGGTTCCATACCTCATAGGAAAAAAAACGGAACCCTTATAGGATTACTTTGTTGTCCGTCCGTCTGTCAAGTACGTATAATTATTATAACACTTATTCATTTATTAAACTTATTCTTAATATATTACATTTCATATAAAAAATGAAATATTATACTAAATATATTATATCAAAAATAGAGCACCACCGGCTGCGGAGTCTCATGACTCAAACAACCAGTGGTCAGGGCTGCAGAGACAGGAACCTTTTCACGATGCGTGCGGTATATAGGATAAGTACCTCTCTGAATAATAATAATAATTATTCGTTAATTAGTCACTATTGTAGATTTCTCGTACCAAATATACAGTAAGGCGTACTAATTAACACTCTTGCGGCAATAACTAAGTTATCTAAAAATGTTGTACTAGGAATGTAAATGTACAATATTTACATTCCTATGTAAAAGTTATGAAAGAATCAATTCCACAGTCCACAGTTCTCGTAGCCATGGTTTTTCCTGTTATCTCAGATATGAAAGCGACGCTTCGATGCTTCCAGTTGTTAATGAAAATCGATTGTACAAAATGCAGAATGATGATCGATACTTAAAAACCCAATAAACATTGTCGTTACACCTACTCAAAGAGGATTATGTTAAGTGGACTACATCGCAATTTGCATTCTCGAAATGTCAACTGGGGTAATTCCTATATATGAAGTTCAAATTATTAAATAACTTTTCAGTTAACATAATAAGTACCGATATATTATTTATTTCAGTCGTTTTAAATGAAACAATATTTTTTATTTAGGTTTAAATTTTATTTGGGAACAAAACTGCAACTTATGGGTTACAAAATGGTTTTTCATATTATCCTAACCATTCTTTTAACTGCGTTATTTGCTGCTTTACTGCTGCTTTTGCAGTACCTCCTGTGCTAACATATTGTTCTACACTCGCCTCCCAAGAGAATAGCTTCTCAATATCCGCTTTACTTCCAAATTCAGGGCTGGAACAAATGTATTTATGTTATTTTTGCCTGATGTATTGTTCCGAGTAAGTTTTGAATGCAAATTATCAAGGTGACATATGTATATGGAATTTCGGTAATTTTATTTCTTTCTTTATAAAATACTAGCCGTCGAACGCGACTCTATCTAAACGGAATAAAAAAAAATCTTAATTAGCTATGTGTTCTTCCAGACTATGTTCTACATCCAATCCAAAAGGCATTGAGATTCGTCGAGTCGTTCTGGATATACGTTATAACAAACATCCATCCATCCCTCATACATCTAAACATTCGCATTTATAATATTAGTAACATAGGAAGATGTTTACCATATAGCTAAATATTCTTCATGTGGCATTTCTCTAAGGTCAACCGCGAGGTCTGCGGCCCGCTGCAGCACAGCGCCGACCAGATGATGGGCACGTCTGAACGGTACTCCGCGCCGGACCAGAGCGTGAGCCATGTCAGTTGCCAGCATGCCTGACTCTAACAACGCTTCCCCTCTCGCCGCGTTAACCTGATAGTAAACAACTTAGCTTTATTACACACACGTTAATATGAGACAGTAATTTAAAAATCTCGATGAAAAATTCACCTTCATTGTAGTTATAGTTCCAGTGGCAACTCTAAGACAATCCAGCAACTTGTCATAAGATCTGAACATTATTTCTTTATCGGACTGCAAGTCTTTATTGTAAGTGCTAGGCAGACCTTTTAACACGCAGCTGAAAGCGATGGCATCGCCCAGTAGAAGACCAGCCGCACCTCGTATGAGCTCCAAGCCGTCAGGGTTACGCTTTTGTGGCATAAGACTGGAGCCCGTAGAGAATTGGTCGGCGAACTTAACCAAGCTAAACTCTTGGCTGCCGTATAGAATCAAATCTTCCGCTAGTCTGCTCAGATGCATAGCACACATCGATGACCAATTGAGGAATTCCACTGCGTATAATAAAAATGGATTATTTTTCAAAGAAAAACTTATTCCTGCTGAAGTTGTCTTAAGTCAAGAGAAAATAACGAGAGTTATAGTTTATTTCAGTCCCAATAGACAATAGCGCTATACAGTGAACGACATTAAAATAAGTTATTAGGTCTGAGACGTGACAGGGAGTTCACTATAATTTTAATTATAAAGTAATTTACCTTTTTTTTAATTTTCTCCGAAAAAAAATATTACACATTTTTCGCAAATGAAATATAAACAAATGTATTTACACACAGTTTGGCATACAAATAGAGAATATCAGCATAGAAATAAGTTAATGATGTTGGATTTGTTTCAGTATTCGAGCTTATTAAAGTTTGGAGATTTTTACGTATATGATCCCTGGAGCCAACAGCGAACAAAGAGTTAGGTGTGACACAATCGAAGCCCAGACTGCAAGCTAATCTCTCGCGGTCTATGTCCAGAGCGCAGCCCGCCAGCGCGCCGCTGCCGAGGGGACACCGTGACAGACGACACTGCTGCTCCTCTAACCTCAGCACGTCGTCACGTAGCATCCATGCATAACTGATAACATTGAGCATAAAAAAATGTGGACTAAAATGGAAATATTCAGTCTGAACGATAAAAAAAAGTTATTGGTAGAATTGGACAGAACTGTTACTTAAGTAATTCTTCTCAGTTTCAACAAAAAATCAAAAATAAGGCTTACCTCAACAAAAAATGGCTCCAACGAATGGGCTGAGCGCGTTGCAAATGTGTATAACCAGGAATTATAATGTGTATTTCATTTTCAGCACGATCTTTTAACACCTGAAACGAAGAGTTTATTACGTTTATGCCTTTTCATGCAGTAGACCTGACATAATCTAATATTGTTAAAATGACTACCAAAATAAGCTTTTTGATTTCATTCAGTAAGTTTGTTAAGTTATCCATCATCCAGAGCTTGGTGTCTGTGGCGGACTGGTCGTTCCGGCTGCGCGCAGTATGCAGGCGCAGCGCAGCCTCCCCGGCGTGCGTTCGCAGCCGCCGCTCCACCACCGAATGGATGTCTTCCTCCGGATCGCTCAGACGACCGTTCTTACACAACTCTTCGGATATTTCCGTTTCTACCTTCAAAAGGAAATAGTCACAATTTTCTGTATTAATTTTTTTCACTAACATAATATTTAATCGTGACACAAGCCACAATAATCGTAGATACAATTAAATTATTAGTGGGAGGTTATTACTGGGAGACAGCAGGATGGGTCATATAAGAATACTTTATTATGTAGAGTCTCTGCTCTATGAGTAGACAAGTGCCATTGCTACATATAATTTCATCTTACCTTTTTTAAACCTTGGTGAATAGCTTCGTAATCATTGTCTGTGATATAACCACAGCGATTCAGTTCGCGGGCCCAAGCTATGCTCCCTCGGATGTCTTGTTGATAAAGGCGCACGTCCACGCATAGCGAGTCGTTTAGCCGACGAAGGACGTCCGAAGGCTCCTCTTGAAAACATCCGCCCCATAACTGGTACCGATCCTAAGGATTTGAAATGATACAAAGAATTGAGCTCATCACACTTAGCTCTTTGTTGCACATCAGCGCCTCAATAAACTGTAGAATCCTAGCTTTATCTTTACTTAGATTTTACTACATTATATATTATACTTACCGACATTATCCTCGTATTAAAATAACTAAACGTTTGTCTTGCTTTTTATATTTTATGTAAAATAATGCCTTGATTCATTTATCTTAAATAAGTAGATATTAGCCTCTTATTCATTATCTTCATAAATAAATACTACGAGCGCTCATATCTACGGGGTTATAAGGTTATATAGTTTTTACTGATTTGAATAAGCCTAATATTAGTATTAAGTATTAAGAAAGATCTCTTGATGATGTTAACTAAATTACGAAGAATTAAAAATTTGATTTTAATCATTAATTCTATAAGTAAATTAGAAAACATTTCAATTTTATCCGTATGGTTCAAAATCCAGCTGCACAGGCGGATCAGACCAGTGGTAACGAGGTCTTTAAGTAGCGTGAAATATTATGAAACAGAATTACTTTTATTCTCCATCAAATGTACAGTTTCCTTTGTAAAAATAGATTTTCATGTTTGTTAATTTTCGTAAAATAATTGCATTGCCACAAATGTTTTTGAACGATTTATTGTCAATGTCAGTGTCATAAGGAAATGACATTGAAGTTTGATTTGATACATGTCAGCACAGCATGGTTTTAATAAGGGTGATTTTTTTGAATTCGTAAACAATTTGAAACATATGTTAATAATATTCGTATTATATTTCTTAAAATGCGAAGAGTACTTGTTTAGTATAAAATTGTAGTGTAAGTAGTAAGCGAACAAGTGATAATGGAGTTCGAATCAAATGAAACTAACGACTTGGACTTAGGTGTGGAGAAAAATTTTCGTCAATACACACTTTTTGATATTTGTAAAGATCCCGGATTAAAAGATGATGAAGGTAATGAAGTGCCACGACCATTTACAAAAAATCAAATGCGAAAATGGTTAAAAAAAGTTCGATGGGAAAATAATAAACAAGGCAAACGTGCTAAAGAAAAAGCGCGTGCAAAAGAAAGGAGAAGAAACGCACGTGTGGCTAACATTGATCTAGGTCCTAGTAGAAAGACATTAAAGAAAATGAAGTTAGAAAAACCAAAAAAGGACATTGGAATTATAATTGACCTTAGTTTTGACCACCTCATGATGGAAAAGGATAGATTCAAAGTGATTAAACAGATTTTAAGATGTTACTCAATAAATAGGCGGTCAGAAACACCATTACAGTTTCATATAACAAGTCTAGGAGAGAAAGCAAAAAGTGATATGTCAAGGCATAATGGTTTTGAGAACTGGGATGTGAGTTATTGTACTGTTAGGTTTAATTTTCATATTTTTATTATTTTATAGTATTATAATTCATCATTTTTAGATTGAATACCATGAACAACCTTATACAGAAATATTTCCAAAAGACAAACTGGTATATTTATCAAGTGAATCTGACAATGTGATTGAAAAGTTTGAGGAAGATACATACTATATAATTGGTGGTTTAGTGGATCATAATAAGCACAAGGTATGAAAAATTTATGTAAAATTTCTAAAAAAATGTCCTTATAGCATGAAGATGGACACTTTTTGCTATAATACATGTCTCTGTTAGATCTATTTATAATCTAAATCTTGTTGTTCTTATTTTATGTATTTGATACTTCGTCCCAGTTATTCCATATATATTTACTCACTTAAAAGAGGTTTAACCACTCCCTTTTTAACTTATGTCTTTTAAATATACCTACTTAGCTTTTTAATCAAAGAGTGTCTCATTTCTTTATTAGTCCATTACTAATTTTGCAGAATAAAAGCCTGTTAATGATTTGTTAATGAATTTATTTCCAGGGTCTATGTCATAAGATTGCTGTAGAACAAGGCATTAGGCATTGTCAGTTACCATTAAATAAATATGTGAATATGAAAACAAGAAAGGTTTTAACAATTGATCATGGTAAGATATTTATTTTTTTCAATGATATCTATAAATGGATAGGCTATTTCTTTATATAGGCAGCTTCACCATTGTTCTGACTTGAACAAACTTGTTGAAGTTCCTGACAGTAAATTCTACCTCTAATAGTTTGAATCCTCACAAATGGAATAATCAAGTAGGCACAAAATACCATGGTTTGTAGCCTGTCCATGTATACAGGTCACTGATTTATTTATAATATAAATTTATGTAGATTTTGAATAGTCACAGTGAATTTAACAAATAACTTATTTAACAATTTCTTACATTCAAAAATGTATTCTTAAAAAATATACATTTTCCATTTCAGTGTTTGAGATAGTCGTAAAAGTTTGTGAAGGTGTTCCATGGCAGGATGCAATATTGGATGTGTTACCACATAGAAAAGGGGCATACATATGCAACAGTTCCAATGATTCAAATACAATTGATGATTGTTCAAAAGTACAAATAGTACATGATAGTTTATAATATTGTTATTTATGCTGTTATATATTTAAGTATTAAATTTGTAAGTTGAATGTGATTATAATATAATCTAATTAAATTGTTCAATAAAACATATTACTGATTTCTATCCTGCTAATATTATAAATGCAAAAGTTTAGATGGATGAATGTTTGATTGTATCTCCGGAACCACTCAATAAATTTTGATAAAATTTGACACACATGTAGAATATAGTCTGCAAGCACCCATAGACTATATATTAAGTTTTTAATTCCGCGCGGGCGACATCTCGTAATTATCTAATAGTTAAAATAACAGTTCATGAATATTTTTTCATATTTATTTAAGCAAACTTTTACTAGCAAAGTGTGATAGTATTAAGGTATAACATGGCTTAATTTTTTATATAATTTTTAATACCTCACCAGTATATGCATTTCTTAAAGTATAAATATGCATTCACACCCTTAACTTTTGGCCTACGTTTAACATTTATTTTTGTACATGTTCGGTAGTGGAAACTCACAATTATAAGGTATAAAAAAATCTATATTTTATATTGGTTTACGTTATTAGGGTTTGATATATATAAATTAGGAACATATGCAAATTAATTAAAACATTCAAAGTTACGTTTGGCCTTACTTTTATAAGTAAAGTCACAGCACAACACTTTAAGTATTTATGTATGACATATTTATAACTTAATAATAATTATATTAGTATAATTAAAATACAAGTCACAGTGGTATTTGGTTCTACTAACTGAAAAATAACCTCGCTCTTATTTTTCTTTTAAACTTTTTTAAAGTTTAATACTTTTCGTTAGTAAGAGCCCTTTGGTAAAATTGCTCTAAGAATCGACACTAATCAAAATAACATTATTCGAAGTGTTATTAAGATAACTTATTCTATTTCCTGTTCGAGATAAAGTTCTGTTCTAATCGTTTCAATTCGTTATAATAAGAGTCCAAAGTACATTTTTGTTACATCTTTTTTTTTCCAGTTTGATATCAAACCGCGATATCGTCGGCGTCATATTCGCTATGTAATACTGTAATGCTGTTCGTTTAACAAACAGATGTCTATAAGTACGATTACGGCTTTCTATACTCTATAATAAACGCTCTATAAATTGTGCTCAACTATCACAATATAACTAAATAAATAAATACATACTAAGACAGAATAAAATGTAGTTATTTGATTAAGTTATATTTTTCATAAAACGGCAGGATTAAATTTGCTACTTTTTCAGGTTCGTTTAAATGCAAGTGATGTGTTCCAGGTACCATATGACAGTCGAATTTTGGATTTATCTTCTTAATCAATTCGCGCATTTCAACAGAAAAGTCATCTGACGCAAAAGGAGAGTCCAAACCCTTTACATATAAAGTCGGACAAGTCAATCTTTTAACGAGCGCTTCCACGAAACGTTTGTCTTCTGGAGTAAATAGGATGTGTTTTAATCTTGAATCTCTTGAAAAATAGAATTTGTTAGGGTCAGTTGTCGATGGCTTGGCACCTCGCGTTATTAAGTACTTAACACTGTCCAAGGCGACAGATTGCCTTGTACCTTTGTGCCAGATTTTAATCATTTCATCTATGGTGTAAGACGGTGGCTCATCTTCTAATCGCGAATGTGCCTTTTGCATTTTCAACATAGTGGTCGGATATTTATCGACGACTGCGTTCAAATCGTAATCGTCCGCTATGAGGCTGTCGATGGCGATGTAAAAGGTGACGTCATCAGGGAATAAGGAGGCGAAGCGAAGTCCTGCAATAGAGCCCATCGAATGACAGAGAAGCGAGATCTTGTCCCATTTGTAATATTGCTTTATATAGAGAATAAGACGAGCGAACTCCCATGGGTAGTACACCATACCTGGAAATTATTTTATTCAATTACACATTTGTATATCGAAATCAAATTATCATGCATAATATTTATACGCTATCTAACAGGGGAAATGCTACCAATATAATAGTCATGTTAGCTTCCCAATTTTTTCCATTTCGAAATTTCTATTATGTACCAGTATTTATATTAAGATAGAGACATAATTAGGTACAAAATACATCATTTGAGGTAAGAGTAATTATTCCTAATTATTGTTAAACACTACAGGATAGTTGGGATAATCTACAAGCAATGTTTAGGTAATTTATTTTGAAACTGAGAGTTTTCAAAAAGTTACCAGCACTTCGTAGTTCTTTAGGTAGTTTGGACGGAGTTGAGCAAAGGTAAATACTTAACATTAGGATATCTAAAACTAATATTTTTATTTCCAGCAAGGGACTATTATATTTACTTAGACGACGTACCAGGTGGGAACCACGACGAAAATCCGTGACCCGGAAAATCGACGGCAAGTATGGGTCGTTTCTTGTAAAGCAACGGCGCCAATGTGTCCCACGTCCCGGCGTTGTCCTGCCAGCCGTGCAGCGCCAATATGGGCTGTTCGTTCTCATCGCCCCAAAGCTTACCAGATACATGACCCCATTTCACAGGGATTTTTATTTCTTTTGGTGTTGCCTGTAATCAGATACGTCTTGTAATTTGCTTAATAAAAGAATAAACATATGGATCATAGCAACATTAAGATTCTGTAGCAAAGTACTTAATAACCAGTACAATAATAATGTTTCGAGATAAATTGACTAATAATAGTCAACAATTGTAGTTTCCAAGAATAGAGTTAGTTCTACTAAATAATCTAATAGATGAGGTGGCGTGTTTAATGACTAACCAATACGGAAGATATTTATGAGGAGCAAAGTCCAATTGCGAATTTATAAACCACGCGTGCGTTTCGTTGAAGGACTTTTCGGTTCCAAAGGCCATATTTCGGTAGCTGATCTTTGTGATTTAATCATAGATTTCTGTGAACTTTTTCCACATCATATATTTTTTGTACAAAGCATAAAAATTTTCTTTGTTAATAAAAAAATGGTCGTGTTAAACAGGTATTATAATATCATATGTGCAATTTTCATATGATTTATATTTTTAAGAAATGCGTTACTATGCTTTACGAAAAAATAAATCTTGCGTAATTATTTTATGCAAGATTCCACACAATTATGTTAATCTATTGTTTACGATATTATTTCTATTGTATACGATTATTTTCATTCAAATATATGAACGAAATGAAAAGTGTTTTAAATTATAATTATATTATTACAATATTTGAAACGTTACTTACATCACCCATGTGTAGCCTCCGAGAGGATAATGCACTTATAATTCCAAACGAAGAATTATTTTTTACACACTTTGAGGTAAGAATCAAGGATTTTAAGAGATTCTTTGACATATTTATAAATTGAATTACACTTTTTATGACTAGAAATTATACAATTTTAGTGTGTTTACTTGCAGTAGTGTGATTAATTATAGTAAACAAAACTTATGTAAGACGATCGACCACATTTTATGCAAATTCTCTAATAATATACCTAATGTTTCTTCTATTTCACTATAATACGTAAGACATTATTACGCTGTTATACGTAAATTCGCTACAACACGACGTCCTAGCTACAAAGATAACCTCACTTCACTGTATTGGTATAGATTTGCTCGGCCAAGGTCTGCCGAGCCGACGACGTATTTATATAGGTACATACTCTTCTATCTTTGTGTAAATGTAAACGCGCACACATAGGGCTGCTACATCTTCGCGTTTGATTCGAATTATGTATTTATTTCTTTTTTTGTTGTCCCCTAAGTATCAAGACGTCGGTTTTTGTTCGTCATCTGCCAAGTAGACGTCTGTAAATCAGCTCTAAATCTGTTCAAAATTTAAGACCATTTAAACTTGAACCATAGACCTGCGGCTCAACAACTAAATTGACAGCTCACGACTCTATGTGAGTGTACTATAATAACTATGAGTGAGAAAAGCCACGAGCTGCCAAGGAACACGCAGTTCGAAACGCAAATCATGAATCTATGTAGGTAAAGTTCACGAGCAGATTCACTGATCTTCACACATGTGAACTGATCTGCAGGTCAACAATTTTAGTTGATTTATGACTACCGCCAAGGTGTGACAATTTGAGAAAAGTCACTGATTGTTTTTATTTCGCTCCCCGTATTCTGGTCTATGATTATAGGTTGGCAACCCTATTTACACTTCTGAATGGAATCATCATTTTCTTTTCATTAAATGAACAAGATGAGAATAAAAATACAGATTTAGATTATTTATTTTATTTTTGTCATGTCTTTCATGACATTTTTTGTTCCTTTTAACTTCTATTTATGGCATTGGAGGTACCTTGTTACTTTTTTTACAAGTAAATTATTTACGTATCTGTTATCTTAGATACGACTATTGTATTATAAAAATATCTTCTATTTTATTATACATAAAATATACAATGCTATAGAAATGTTACTACAAAGATATAATCTTATAATTGCAAACATTTAACAACGGTTCGTTGAGTACCAAATTAAAAAAAAATTATATTAAAAAAAATACATTTGATGAATATCTCGAGATAATATTATACAGTGTAATAATTAAAATGTAAGCTTTTATGCCATATATATCTGGAAACTATATTATTAATAAGAATTCAATGTACAAAATATCACAAAACGTGTCAGCACCTCACATCTTAAACTAGAAATTTACAGTGCGTTCTTATGAAATACTTAAAGTTAAAATTGAGTATCGAAAGACTTAATCCGATTTTAAAAAGGGACGTTGACATTTTTTAAAATAATTTAACATTTTTACGAAAATAGTAATTTTCAAGACAGTTTAAATTCATTTTGCAGCAATTCGGCAAATAAAGTTGACTGCTAAAAATGTACCACAATTAGCAATTTTTTAAGTCTTGATTTATTTGTCACAGAATAGAGAAGTAAAATTCTAGTCATTTTTCTGCTGTAATGGCTCTACAAGCGCCAACTAAAAGGACTAGTCAGTCACATGTTATCTGACGAGCTATGTAGGTGTATGATGCATTAAACTTAAGTCAAGCTTATTTTATAACTTAACATAGAGTTGGTGAAATGTTGGGCTCGAAGACACCTTGTCTCAAAGCGGTGAGGAGGGGCCAGGGCTCGCAGGAGCACTCGCTGCGCCAGTCGTCCAAATCGAGGGCCCAAAGGGCGGCGCCGCGGATACCCATTTTGGATGAAGTTGAAATGATCTTGAATACTTCCTGCGGTCGAAGGAATGTCACCCATTGGGAGCCGTGTACTATACTCATTCCCTCCTCTGTTGGCATCTCTTCCCAATATTGTGTTTTTAGTCCGTTACATATCTGTCAAAAAATAAACCAAATAAAAATCCATAAAATGTTCTTTCTTTTGCCTTTCTTTGTCACTCTTGTTGATCTTTTACATAAACTAATCTATACTTATTTTCGTTTGTAAGTTAAATCCCTTCTCCTGACAGCTATGTTTCTAGCTTTTTATAGACACAGGAGTCGTTTGTGCTAAGGGATCTAAGAAGTTCATTTAGTTACTCACCTCGTAGTACGCCATGAAGCCGGGCACTTGCGTGTAGTTTCCGGCGTCACCCGGACCCGCAGTTGGGGCGCCCGGGTGCACAAACAGCTCGCTGCGCAACGTATACGAGCGCCCATACGCCGGCACGCTCATCACCAGCTGCCGAGACGGCACCACGCTTGACCAGTACGACAACATTGTTTTCTGAAAGTAAACAGTTATTAATTTAAAATACGAAGAACTCCAAAAGAAGAATACGAATCAAATGACACCTGCCACTTCAAAATCGTCAAGCGGTTTAGGCCACCGGCGTTCGGAAAAATGGAAAAGTACATACGTAGTCACAAACTTCTGATGGTGCAGAAGATTGCATAGGCAGGAGATACTCTGTCCGTGAATTCGTCGACCAGTAGTAGTCGTTGGCGGCGATGGCCATCCAGTCGAGAGTTGCCGTCAGAACTTCAGGATCGTACGCCACTGCCGCTACTTTAGGGTTCGGAGACACCACAGCGGAAAATTCTAAGTTGTATTGACGTAATGACTTAGATAATTCAGTCAGTAAAGCGTTGAAGTTGCTCTTTTCATCATTCTCTTCATCTGTCTCAGTACAAATTTCCTGTGAAAAATCGTAGAGATAATTTTTCTCAAGATCACTTGAAATGCGAAAAGGATGTGACTCATTTGGCTGGAATTAAACCTAGGTAATTATTTTAGTAAGTACAATGAGATTGTTTGTTGGAATTAAAGGAAAATTGAGCTTGAAATAGCGCATATTATTCCAATAATCCACAGAAAAAAATTGGAATTTGTCACACCATTTTTTTAAAATCTTATATCTATCTAGAATTCATTAATAATAATAAATAAATAAATAAATCTGTAATCTTTATCATAGTTTAATTAATAATATATATTTTATCTTTAGCATTAACATAAAAGATGAAACTTAACCTTTGACTTATAACAATAATGTGCTAATTTGCGAATAGTCATGTTTTATGATTACGACTTGTATGTACCTAATCATTAGAAGATATATAAATCATAACCAATTATTTTTGTTTTTTATTGAAAAGATAATTACATATTAATCGTAATAAAATATTTACCTGACCACACACTGGATACTGCCAGGCGAGTTGCAATCCGTCAAAGTTCCATTTCTTAATAAGCTTGTGCGCTGATTCTATGAAAGATGTCCTTTTCTCCTTGGTAGACACCATTTCGCTCCAATTCGATACTCTAGAGTTATGTAAGCCGCCAACGCCGAGAATAACTTTAACTCCATCCAATCTTAATTCTGATATTTTACCGAGGAAATCTAAAAGCGACGATTAAAATTATTTAAATGGAGAATTACCGCCATCCTCCGCTAGTTAAGGAAACACCTCAAGATAAAGAAATATTGGCAAGACATTTAATCTGAATTTAATAAAGTTAAAGCAGTTAAAAAGATCGTTAGTTCTTACTTTGAATAATTGCCGAAGACTCGATGGTCGCTAAGGGAGTCTCATAGCTAAGTGTAGATTAGTTTAAGAAATTTAATAACTTTCCCTTACCATTGTCTACATCGAGTTCGGGTACGCCTGGTACGATCTGCGAGGTGTTGCTGAGATGTGCCCACGAGTATATTATATGAGTACACAAAGATGCATCCACTTGTTCTGGACCAAATTTACCTTTACCTGGCCTGAAAATACATTTGGTCATTAGCATAAAATATCGCAGCAGATTTTGCTTTATACTAAATACATTGAAGGGTATAAAGATTTTCTGTATTTAACAATGTCACTTATTCACGTATCGTATTTATCATTGTTGTTAACTACCATCATAATTTCGTTTGCAAAAACTTAAAATAACCGTGGTTTTCTGTCACCAAAATATCCGTATAAAGCATATCGCCATCCCTGTCTTTCATCTTTGGTAAAATAGAGATGACAATATGTTTTAAACGCAGATTTTTGCCGGAGGAACCCACGGTATGTTTCACTTCCGCTAGACAATGAGTGCTATTTTCATAAATATATATTAAATTTGGTACCGGTAATATGCCCAATTAGTAAAGTAGCAGGCAATTATTGGTTTCTCTTCTTGATCTTCTGTTATCTTGAGTGACGCTTTCCCCTTGCATCTCGCTTTTGCTGGCCAGTCACAGTGGTTCTAAGAACGTAAATTTCATGTATTATTTAGATATTACACAATTTTTTTTTAATTAAATTTTGCACAAAGTTAGGGAAACTTTATTTGATACAAAGGGAGAAAATATTGAAGTAAGTCATTTCGCTTTACCGATATTAAATATGTATTCAGTTAAACTATACTTTTGAGAAAATAAAGATTTCTAATATATATTTTGTTTCTTTAATTTCTTACCTTATTCCATACAAGAGGTGCAGGGCAGGTGAGGTCTACGTACACACCGTTTAAGCATAGATAGTATTTGCTGCAATCGTGTTCGTCCGCCTTAAACGTTATTCCCGTACACGCTTTACCTTCATATCCTTGTTCCTGAAATCATTACAAAATATAACTATATTAAGTACTACATATGTGATCATTATCAGCTTTACGTTCTTTTACTAAATAACTAGCTATTGCCTACGAAGCTGTCCGCGCGGAATTAAAAAAAAACTTAATAGCCTATGTGTTCTTACAGACTATGTTCTTTATGTATGCCAAATTTCAGCAAGATCCGTTCAGTCATTCTGACATTCAAACAGACATCCATCCATCCATCCCAACATTCGCGTTTATAATATTTGAAAGATAAGATGTGACATATGTACGTTAGATTTATACAATAGATAGGTTTTGAAACATAAATATAAGGAGATTTAAACTTACATTGTCTACAGATTCTACTTCAGTTTCTGTATCAGGTACTGGTGCGAGTTCAGTCATTTGTGTTGTGGTCGTCGTGGTTGTTGTTGTTGTTGTTGTTGGGGCCTCAACTGAAATAACTAAAATTTTATAATATTACTCTAAAATAATTATTAAATATAGTCTAAGAATTAAACTAGAAACTTTGGAAACTTTATAGCTTTATAGTTTATGTCGATATTGAAAATTGAGTGGAATATTTACTTTCTTCTAATTGACAATCCGGAGGTGGGTCTTTGCCGCGAAGAACATGGTTGACTGTAGCCAGAAGAGGTGATTTTCCACAACCGCAATAATATCCAGTGAAATCATCAAGATCGAGAGTCCAAACCATGGAACCTCCCAGACTCATAGCACGAATGTACTCTGCTTTATGGCGTATCATGTAATCATCGTCAAATGATACCCATTGATCGTTAAAAGTAGCATATGGACCCATTCTACCAGTGGGGTCTCTGATCACGTTCCAACCGCGCGATCTAATACGTTCGCAAATCTAGAAAAAAATTTAATTATAACAAAAATTGGGATGTAAAGCATCCCCCGCCTGATTCAGGTTTGAACAAATACAGACTAATTTGACAACAATCTGCTTACCTCGTAGAAAGCTAAGAAACCTCTAGCTCTTGTCTCTTCACCAGGATCTCCTCCGGCATAGGTCGGTGCCCCCAACCTGTTGTTTTCATTTTCCAATAATGAGAAGGATTGACCATAGAACGGTAAACCCATCACCAGTTTTTCTCTTGGAGCGCCACCCTTGATCCAGTAACTAACTGTAAAGTTCTGGAAGAAAATATGCGTGATATAGATAAACTTTTTCTTTTTTTTGTCTGCCATCATGGTCATAGAGAAAACGTACCACACTATTCACATCTTCGCAGTTTTCGTCATTTCCTGAATACATAGGAGCCAAGTGACCCGTCTTTTTATCCCACTGGCCATGATAATCATAGGTCATAAGAGATATCCAGTCCAACTGCTTAGCCAAAACAGGGATGTCGTATGCTGTAAATAAATGATTCAAGTTAAATCAATACGGTCAAATAGAAATTTACGATATCAGAGAGGTTCAATAACAACATACCAGCGTCAATGACATTCTTGCCGCCCGATACCGCCGCAGAGAGCAGCAAGCCACGAGGAACGAATGCTGAACGTAGTTCCGTGATGAGACGGGCAAATCCTTCTTTGTCAGAGCTTGGTCCTTTGTCACAATTGACCTGGGATATTTTTATTAATTAGTTTTGTATTGAGGATTTTTTTTACTTCTTATCAATAAAAAATTAAAAAAAAATTCTTTCATAATCTATTAATAAAAGTGGTATTACGTAAGCACTTAATGAAATGGTAGAGGTTATCACAATCCATAAATAGTTGTCAAATAATAATCATGTTTTAAAAGTTAAGATGAGGTGTCTATACATTATACTTACTTGCCAACATTTTGGATAATTCCAGTCTATATCTAAGCCATCAAAGTTATATTCGTCTAAGAAATCGAGAGTATGAAGTACGAACTTTCGTCGAGCTGTAGGGCTGTTAACGAGACGTGAATATTTATTTCCAGCTGAATCTTTCCAACCTCCAAGACCGAGCAAAACTTTAACACCATCGTGTTTCAATCCAACTACTTTTTCGAAGAATTCTGTAGCGAGATACAAAAAAGATTAAAATAACGATGGAAATTATCACACAAAAAATAATGAATTTAACAAAACTTACTGTTTTCAACGTCCAGCCAATTGTCGTGAGGTCTGATCTCCAATTTATCGCTGTCAAGGACCGCAAACGCGTATATAATATGTGTACAAAGAGATGGATCAATATCACCTGGCGTAAACTTTCCTGTTCCCGTTCTGAAAATTAAGAATTTATCAAAAACTTGCCCGGAAAGACGGGAGACTGCTTTCATGAATTAAATATTTGCATTTGTTTCAGCACAACTAACCTGTACCAAGCCCAGTTTGTAAAGTAGCACACAACTTTGTATTGCTCTTCTTCATCCATGATGACAGGTGGTGTTGGTTTCATCGTGGTGGTAGTGGTCAGTTTAGTTGTAGTGGTAGCTTTGGTTGTAGTGGGAGTGGTAGCGGGTGTCGTAGAAGTTGTGTATGGTGTAGTTTGTCTTATTGGTTTCTTCGTAGTTGTAGTAGGTTTGGGCCTCGTGTACGACGGTCTCACTTCAATGTCCTCTAAATCTTCGTCTATTTGATTAGATGTTTCAGTAATAGGTTGTACATGTCCATAATCTACACTGGCATCCAAAAGACCGTCTTTTATAGCATTAATAAGTGGGTGTCGGCCTTGTCGGCATCTGTTAATGTGAAAATGAAAAAATAGTTAGCAAATAACATCATGATTTTTATAGTAGTACAAAAACTGTAAAGCCTACTGTATAGTTTGGAACTTTTTAATAAATAATAAAAAAGCAACGATTTTTTTAATTTGTACCTGTTTTTAAAGTCATCAAGATCGAGCGCCCAAACCATACCGCCTCCCAAGTTAAGTGATTTTATAAAGTTAGCTTTTCTCTTTATAATTTCGACGTCATCGTAAGACACCCATTGGTTGCCTTTGTATGCAAATGGCCCCATCCGTTGGAGAGGGTCCTTGACAACCTTCCATCTTCTATCGATGATGCGCTCACAAATCTGTTATACACAGAAGAAATAATAAATGGAGCACTAAAATAACTATCGTTAGTTTGAGTAAAAAACATCGCGAAAGAAACTAAGAAATTATTAAATTAATAGTATTGTATATTAATTAACATTAACGTTGTCCGAAGTACATACCTCGTAATACGCTAAGAATCCTTTAGCCCTGGTATATTCTCCGGCATCTCCGCCATACATTGCAGGTATATTCAAGGAATTAATATCATATGATGATAATGTCGTGAACGACTGTCCGTATGTAGGAATGCCCATCACCAGCTTAGAGGATGGTGCTCCCTTTTCCATCCAATAGTGCATGGTGTAGTTCTGCAAAATCCAAGAAATATTATAATTATGTTTCATTAGAAAACAGATATTATTATCTGTTTTCTAATGATGCTGTTAGTGAAATAACAAATTTAAGGGTCGAGTACTCGGAGTTCTAAAAATATAAGTGTAGGTAATAAAATATAGCATCTCCAATGATTTTACAAATCGAATAATATAATCCTATTTATTAAAAAATAGTATTATCGAAGTAAACACGAACCGCATTGAAGTATGTGTTGTCGTCATCGGGATGATAAAACAAGGGCGCAACATGGCCAGTCTTCTTTTCCCACTGGCCGTGGTAATCATACGTCATCACGGCGATCCAATCGAGATGTCTCGCTAGGATCGGCACGTCGTACGCCTCATCTATCACTCTCTTACTGGGCGAGACTGCAGCGGACAGTAACAGTCCTTTAGGTTTGAAAACTGCAGAGAGTTCACGGACCAAGTCAGCGAAACCCTCCTTATCTGCATCTGGTCCCATCGAACAATCTACCTGAAATAGAAAACAGTAGGTTTTGTTATTGTTAACTAATTCAAATTAAATAATGACATATTGTTTGTCTTAATCGTTATTTGTGTTTAAATTTCTCACCTGCCAACATTTAGGGTATTCCCAGTCTAAATCCAGTCCTTCGAAACCATATCTCTCTAAGAATTCTACGACATGGCTCACGAATCTTGCGCGCGCTTCAGGGTCGTTGACTAATTTGGAATACTTGTCTCCAACGGAATCATTCCATCCACCAATAGCTAAGGACACCTTTATTCCATATTTCTTGTATTCAACAACTTTTTCATATAAGCCTAAAAATAAATTTCATTACGACACAATTTTTATTTTGAAAAATAGTATTATACGTTTTGTGGTCATGCAAACTTACGATTTTCTTGATCTGCCCAAGGATCGTGAGGAGTTATAAGACCGTCAGGTCCCAAAACGGCGAATCCGAAAACGATGTGTGTACAAAGACTTGGATCAATATCTTCAGGACCGTATTTTCCAAGTCCAGGACGGTACCACGACCAATTCGTGTAGTAACAAATAAGTTTATAGCGTGCTGAAATTCATATTAAAATTAGTGTATGTTTGTTGAATCTCTTGAAAATATTTTTTAAAGAACAACACACAAAAATTTGATTAAAAAAGGTTTTCTTACTATTAAGTAATGCTGGTCTAGAAGATGGATCTACAAGTGCTACTGTTGTCGGGGAAGATTCGATTGGTTTTATTGGTATTTCGGGTTTGACTTCGGTGTCCACTTCAATTGGGTCCATGAGATGTGATTCTGTGGTTGTGGTTGTGGTCGTCATAGTGTTAGGGACTTTACGTTTCTTACATTTCGCACTTCGTGGCCAGTCACATATTAACTTATCCTGTTCAAGAACAATAGATAATAATAAGCTATTTGCCCATATAGTTTAATCAATTTAGTAATAAAAGTTACGCTTGCCTGATTCCAGTGCAAGCCGGCACTGCAAGCGAATTCTTCAAATTGGCCAAACAGACAGTGACGATATTTGGTACAATCATTAGGATCTCTGTCGTATTGACCACTCTCGCAGTATTCTAAAACAAATAAAAATATTCCAGTATACGTACTTACCAACTTTTTGCAAAATCTTACCGGAAAATAAATTAAATAAACTCGAACTTTATAAAATGTAAGTTACATAATAAATATCTTTAAATTTTAAAAGTTTTCTTTACTTGGCTTATCGTCAATAACATCTGTATCAGGTAGGCCGTTTGAAGTCGTAAGCTTGGGTGCATCGACCATAGCAGCGGATGTGACTTTGCGCCGGTCGGAGCAGGAGTTGGCGGAGGGGAAGTCGCACTGCGACCGCTCCTGGCTCCAGACGAGGCCGGGGGCGCAGCTCTGGGTCACCAGCACGCCGTTCACACACACGTAGAACTTTTCGCAGCGAGGATGCGTGTGGTATGTACCAGTCACACAACGCTATCAACAATATATATTACTTTATATTTTTTTGTCAATCAATCATACAAAACAATCATAATTTAATTGCATTCATAATGAATTGTGAGAAATTTGAATCGTTGACTTCAAAATGCTTACCGTTGGTTTCTGATATTCCTCCGATAATATGAATGGCTTCTTCGTTGTAGTTGTTGGCCGTCTAGTTGTTGTTTTTGGGGTTGTTGATGTGATCTGGTACACTGGCTTTCTTGTCGTTGTAGCTGCTGATGTTGGTTTCGACGCTAAAATATGAATCCACGTTACGTATATATTCGCTAGACTTCGTATGTGAGAAAGTAAGTTGAATAACTAGGAAACGTGTTTAATTAATTAAGACTAGTTGGTGTGTACCTTCACACATAGCGAAGTCGACCCAGTCGCATCTGTTGCTGCGTTTGTCCCAGTGCAGGCCGCTAGGGCAAAGCTGTTTGCGCCAGCGCCCGCCCACACAGAGCAAGTATGCGTCGCATGTGGATGCCGGCGCGTACATTTGATTTTCACCACAAAGACCATCTTCTTGCAGTTCTGAACTACTGGATGTTGCTGCAGGAAGCATTTTTAATTGATTATTAATCTACCTGATTTTCTAAAAAGGTTCTTTAAAATTATTAACCCTTCCATATTTAGGGCTCATTTATTTGTAGTTATTACTTACTTGTGGTCGTTGGTGGTCTTGTTGGCTTGGGAGATCGAGTTGTTTTCGGCGGCAGCGTGGTTGTCTTTTGGGTGGAACCTGCGAAATTTATTTCAGAGTCTGATTTAATTATATACGAAAAAATTTCAGTATAATGATACTTTTAGAAGTACATATGTATGATTTGAGTCGTACCTTGGCACTTGGCGTACTTAGGCCAGTCGCAGTGCTTCTGCTTGGCGCTCCAGTGCAGGCCGGGGGCGCAGCGCTGCAGCCGCCAAGTGGTGCCGTCGCAATGCAGGTACGAGTTGCAATCCTCAGGCACTGACACGTAGTCTTGTCCGGCACACGGTAGACCCTCTGCCGGGCCATCTATAAATATAAATTAATATTTAGTTAATTCTTTAATTATAATTGTAAATGAGTACCGTATTTCAAGTTGGAAAAGCAAAACGTATACACCCAATTGCGTATTTACCATCACTAGTAGGTGCAGATGTAGTTGTCGTCGTTGTTGTTGTTGGTCTCGGCCTGGGCGTTGTTGTCGTGGTCGTTGTGGTAGTAGTAGTGGTCCTCCGTGTAGTGGTGGTGCGTCTCGTCGTTGTTGTTGGTGGTGGTCGTGATGTCATCGGAGCTAATGTTGTTGTTGCCGTACTCGCTTGACTAGGAGGTTTTTCTAATAAAAAATTTTTTTTTTAAATAAGTTGTTTAAAAGAGAAATAAATAAAAGGGTCGTGAAGGAAGTAACAATAATTACCTTTGCATTTAGCGAAGCTAGGCCAGTCACATCGTCCGGCTTTAGCGGACCAGTGCAGGCCGGGCGCACAGCGATGCTTGCGCCATTGGCCGCCCTCGCACTGCAGGTACGCCTCACAGTCGCCCGGTGCAGCGCGGTATTCTCCGGCCTCGCAGTCTGATCCTTCCACACCTTATACACATTTCACATTAGGAAAGAACGTTAAAGTATCTTCTGCAGCATAGTAATTATCTGGATAGAAAACGTACCCGTATCCATTTCAGGAGCTGCTGCAGTCGTTGTTGGTTTCCGTGTGGTGGTAGTCCGTCTGGTTGTTGTTGTTCTCATAGTAGTTGTGGTCGCGGGTTTAGCAGGCGTAGTGGTCGCCTGAGGCCACCACGTCATGGCAGTGGTGGTCTGTTGAGTCCAGCTCGGCCACGTTGTTGGCGCCTTCGTCGTATGATCGTGCTCGTGGCCACCGTGATGATGTTCAGTAGTACTGACGACAGATCCTGCAAGCAATGGACTCGATTATTATTTTATTAATTGAGTTAGTATTAAATCGATATACATTCGAAGTCAGTGCATAATATGCAAACGTACCATCAGATTCGGCAGGCGTAGTGGTAGGTGGTGCAGGGGTAACGGGTTCCGGTGGGCGCTCGCAGGATGACTTGGGAGGCAGGGGCACGTCGCGGCCGAGAGCGCGGCCCGCAGCGCGCAGCAGCGGCGAGGGTTCTGAGCAGCAGCGGTTGCTGAAGTCGTCCAGGTCAATCGCCCAAGCCGTCACACCCCCCAACCCCTGACGCATTGCCCACTCAACCTTCATACCAGAGAGTTGTTTTTATTACGAAATAGTTTTTAACGAGTCAATATCTTAACTTTTGGAACATATCTAAACATAAGTTAAATTTTGATTGTTATTACCTTTTCACGGATAGATTTTGGATCGTCGTATCCAACCCATTGGTTGTCTGAGTATGCAAAGGGACCAGCTTTATCTTGTCTGCCGGTCTTCCAACGTAAGTTTTTAACTGAAAAAAAATGAAAAAAAATTAATACACTTGAAAGAAACTTGATTAAATTTTTTGAATCGATTTTTTATGTTACCTCTGTAACATATTTCATAGTAGGACAGCATTCCAGGTTGTTTTGTAAACTCTCCGGATTCACCAGGGCCCGCGGCGGGAGCCCCAGGTCCATTTGGTCCTTCGACATCCGCCAGTCTGTACGACTGACCGTAGAACGCCAAGCCAAGCAGCACCTTTTTCGGATCCGCTCCACCCTCTATGATCGCTTTTATAGCATATTCCTAAGATAAAAACCAAGTCTTTTTAGATGTAGTTTATCATATGACATATTTCTGAACGAGGTGTGCCATATTTCTATTTTAATTAAAGTCTTTTAGTGTTTTCTTTTTTCAACATAATATTATTAGTTTCTTCCAAAATCTGAAATTTACTTACAATAGAGTAATAAGCCAGGGCATCTCTCTGAGCGGGTATGAGGGGTGTATGATGAGCTGTAGTCCGTTCCCAGCCTCCGTGGTAATCGTATGTCATGGTGCTCAAGAAGTCTGCTGCTTTCGATATGATGGGTAGATCGTAAGCGGCTTCAATGACCTCCTTGTAACCAGAGATGGCGACACCTAGTTCCATGTCCGCTGCATGGAGCGCTTTAGACAATTCCTAGAAAACGAAAGGATCTTTAAGTATATATTTTAAATATTTTTTTAAACATATTGTTGTCTATGATAATGACAGAGTTGACGATACGTCTTATACAGGTATTTTGGTCTCAGACACTCACGGCAAGTAAAAGAAAAGGTACATAGGCTTTAGAAGAGTGAAGCAAATTAAACTATAAATTACCTGAACCAATTTAGCGAAATTTTGTTTATCAGATCTTGCGCCCTTTTTGCAGTTACTCTGCCAGCAAACTGGATAATTCCAGTCCAAGTGGAGACCTTTGAAGTTGTGCATTCGCAGGAAGCTGACCGCTTTGACGACAAATTTGGTGCGAGCGGCGCTCGATGACACAAGACGAGAGTATTTATCCCCAGCGGAGTCTGTCCAGCCACCCAAACCTAATAGTACTTTAACATCTCCAAGGGAAGTCACACGTTCATATAAATCTGTGGAAATCATTATAAAATAAGTGTAAGTATTTATTTCATATTTATTTAATAAAAGTCATAGTTGTATAATGCCAAAAATGATTCCTTACTGTTAGTTATATCAGCCCATGGGTCAAACTCTTTGATAACAAGATCGTCAGTCAGTAAAGAAGAGTATGCGTAAACAACATGCGTGCAGAGTCGTGTGTCAATTTGCTCGGGTACGAATTTTCCTTCGCCACGTCTATAGAATGCCCAATTCGTCATATAACAAACCACACGTTTATCGCTGTCTCTACCTAAAATGTGCATAGAACAGATTCAGTGTATATTTATTACAATATAAAGAAATATAATAGATTTGTTTGCTAGTCTCTTACTCTTTTTAATTTCAGATTGTGGTGTTACTATAAGTTGTGCAGCTTCTTTAATCGTTGATACACCTTTGCTGAACTGTGAATAAATTAAAATTTATTAAATACATGAATAATATAATTCATACATGAATAAAATTATAATTTTTATTAAATATGTAATGTTTATTTATGCATGATTACCGCAAAGTCGGTCTCGTAAGCTTGTGACAAGAATCTTGCTGCATCCTCGACTGTTATTCGTAAACTTTGTCCGGGAACACATTTTGCGACATCTTGGTGACTGCAAATAAAAACTCAATTAAAAATAGCAACTAGAAATATTTATGCAAATCAAGTTAAATGTTTTTCTTAACTTACCCACAGAAACCAGTAGAAGGATCATAGAGTCTCTCATCTTCACAGACCATCCTGTAGCTAATACCGCCGGTACAGAAGTGGAAGTGTGCGCAAGACTCCTCGTCAGAAGCTAAGTACGGTACCTCCGCCTGACACGCGCCAATCTTCAAAGACGATTGATCGGTATGTGTCAATTCCCCTATGGAATAGAAATAAATTAGTCCCAATAACATCAAAAGATTTGCGGCATAACAATAACAAATGTTAGAATTTACGAAAGGTAAAATAACATCTACCCACAAAATATCTAGTTAAATTATTTCTTGTTTACTATCTTACCGTTCAGTGTTGTCGATATAGCGCTCAAGATGGGGTAAGGGGATCCGCAGAGTCCACGGAAGTCATCCATGTCGATCGCCCACGCGGCGGCTCCCGCCAAGCCTATACTTATCACGAATTTCATCTAAAATAAAATAAATCATTTAATATGCTATTGCATACTCATATAATACGAAATTGGTTTGTAAATATAGCTAAGTCAATGACTGTTTTACCTTTTCAAGTATTGTGTCAGGTGTGTCGTATGTGATCCATTGATTACCAAACACTGCGTACGAATTACCAGCTTCGTCTAGAAGACTTTCTCCTTTACCTTCGCGTTCTGCCATACAAATCTAAAATATTCAATCAAATTTCAATCATAAAATAGTAGTAGTTATTAGTTTGTTGTAGTTGTAAAAAATATAAATGTGGTTCTACCTCAAAGTACGCTAGCATTCCTTTAGTTTGAGTGTAGGTTCCCTCATCTCCCCATCCATTGACAGCCGCACCAGGCGACGACATTGATGTTTCAGAAAGAGTATAGCTGCGGCCGAACAGGGGTATGCCCAACACCAATTTGTCAGCCGCCATTCCATGACGCAAAATGTATTTTACCATGAACTCCTGCAATTATAAATTAGCAAAAAAATTAATTTGATAGACAAGTATTTTTTAGAAATAAACTTCATAAAGGCAGTATTTTCTTTGATCAATCTCTAGTATCTGAACGTTTATTCCTTACAATATTATCGTATCTCTGATCTCTGGAGGATGCTCCCGGATCTCTATGCAGCGCGCTATGCTGCACAGCCCTCGTGGGTGGCTCATCTCGTCTCCCATGAGTCATGTCCCACGCCTGCAGGATCGTGTAATCAGTAGCACCACTAACCGCGCCCAGGTCGTAGCCGTCTTCTATTTGATATCTAAAATTACAAAACAGTGCTGTTCAATAAGTTTTATGTACCTCCTACGTATTTTATTCCTTAATTTTTTTTTCTTGTTTAGCCAAATGATGTATGTTTTCAAGAGTGGTCTTTGGTCGGTATACCTACCAACTTACTACAATTGTCACACCCTAATTTCAGACCTTGTATTACATTAAAAGTTCAAAATAGACACGACATTATCTATTGTCAAAATTACCTGAAAGGCGGTAAGACAGTAGAGAGGAGATATCCATATGGCGATAATTTCTCACGAAGCTCGTAAAGTAGACTTGTTAATAGCTCTTTCTCCTTTTCATCTCTATCTCCTAAAAATGTGATGATACATATTTAAAAAAAGTTTATTTATTTAAAGAAGTTTTTCTTTTGAAAAAAAAATTGTACCAGAGTAAATCCAGTGTAGATCGATTCCATCAAAATCGTTGTCTAACAAGAACGCGAGTGCGCTATCAACAAATGCGTTTCTTCTGTAAGGCTCCTGTACCATTTCACTGAAGAGACGACTAGTGCCTTCGCCACCGATACTGATAAGGACACGAAGGCTTGGGAATCGACGTTTCAGGCCAGTTGCAATGCGGTAGCCACCTGTATCAACCCAGATAAAATTTAATTCAGAGGAGCTTATAAAGTTAGGTAAAGTATCGTTAAAAATAAATTGATCTATTATTTATTTTCGTGTATATTTTTCTTTGCTGCTGCTGCAACATGAATATGTGCCTTCAAATGTATCAAGGACACATAATACAGGTATTTACTATTCCATAAATTCACAACTTTTTGACCTACCTATTTAATTATTTTACCTTTGATAATATCATAATCTTCATTGGCTGGTATAACGGCATATGTGTGAGGGTGCAGCACTGCGAAGGCGTAGTGCAGGTGAGTACAAGAGCGCGGCATGAGCCCCGCGGTATACGCCAACGGGGGCGCGCGGTACGCCGCCCACGACTCGAAGTAACACACCACTATGCGGCGTGCCATCGGACCACCGTCAGTTTGTTGCATTTCTATATACGTAAAAACAAATGAAACAAGCATTTAGTTAAAATTATAATATTTTAACATAGTGCAGATATAAGTTAATTTGCTCAAAATCTATCTAAATAGTGTAAAAATTTAGTTTTACCTTGAAGATTGGCGTTGCCCAGCTGAAGTCTTTCATCAGTGCGCGAACCACTGCAATGAAAAATTGAATAGATAGGTACATAAATTTTTCTTTTAATTCCGCGCGGACGGAGCCTTGGGCGACAGCTAGTTATTAGTTTTTTAATTCTTTTTTTTATTTTCTACATACCACTATGAACTCTAACTGAGAAATTTGTGTTAATACTTACTTATTTAGGTAGTTTGCGGCCCCGTAATATTTGTTAATTTCTTCTAGACTTGATAAACCATCCATTAATTCATCACTACTCTGTGAAATGCAAGAAAATGAAGGTATTCATAAATAGAGGTATACGAATACAATAAGTAGTAGGTAAACAACATTTATTTACATACCTCGATAGCTTTTGCTAAGAATTGAGGATCAATGACGGGAATTGGTCGTTTCTCAACAGCATCTCTTAATGGCAGGCGCATGTAACCTTCGTCTCGTCGATTTCTTAAACAATTACATAAAGTTTCCACTCAAACAATAAAATCATCATCAACCTGCCCTTATCCCTATCGAGGGTCGGCACCGCATGTACTACTCCTCCATACATCTCTATCAGCCGTCATATCCGAGTCTACCCCCTTCTTACGCATATCCTCTTTCACACAGTCATTTCATACTTTTTTTGGTCTTCCTCTACCCTTGTAGCCATCCACATTCAATCTCATTACTTTTTTGCTCAAACAATAAAATATCATCGTAAAATAATTTTAACTATTTTTTTCATTCAGGCGCCATTCGTTTCGCCATGATTCTATTTATATATCTTTTTTTTTTTATATTTAAATAACTATAAACCAAATAGGAAAAAAATATATTTATTACAGTACAAAATAAATGACTATGGATAAATTAGAGTAGAGGTAAGTTGTTTTTCTGCAAAGATTTAGAAGTAAATAAGCATGTGACAAACTACACTTCGATACCCAGTTTGTGAAAGCGCTTGGAAGAAAATCTTTCACATAATATTTTTCCTTGTGCAAGAAAACAGCGTAATGATAGTTCAGTAAAATAATTATTCTACATACATAATACTTAAGGAAAACTAGCATTTATAAAAAAATAGTGATTTGCTACTGTTACTCATGCAAATAATTCGAAACATTACCTGTTTTTGAAACCAAAATTTGAAAACTTAGATGTTTTTCTAAGTAATAAGGAAAGCCATTTTTTATTTACCTAAGCGGAACACTCTCGACCGATGCTCGTATTGGTTGCGGTAAGGGGTCATGTTTTGGAATCGTTTCCACTGCACCACGGAAGAAAGACTCTTTCTCCTGACGGGGAGAAGACACAGTCCCGCTGATCAGCAGTACGCTCACAGCAAACTAAAATAGATTAATACATTACTGTTATTTCACACATTAACATTTTTATTAGCACTATCTTAAAATAACAAGCTTCGGACGTTGTTAATTATTTTCGCCAATCGTGTTTCTCATAAATAAACATTTTATCGAACAAAGATTCAGAGATTACTGACCTCGTGTAGAAAAGCTTTGTGTTACATTGTCAATAGAATGAGTAAGTACTCTAAAAGGCGTTGAAATTAAACTTGCGGTTAGAAACCGTTGAACCTGTGACAAAAACCTAATTGTTATTATATTATTCTTCCTATAACGTATAGGATGTTTTTATAACTCACCTAGAGTTATTTTACAGTGACTTTAGACTCTTTGACAAAATCAAGACTACATCTTATCTTACTAATATTATAAATGCGAATGTTTAGATAGATGTTTGTTTATCTTCAGAACGGCTCTACGGACATCGTTGAAATTTGGCATACATAAGAACAAAGTCTGGAAAAACGCATAGACTTATTAAGTTTTTTTTAATATCGCGCGGACGGAGTCGCAGGGCAACAGCTAGTTATATGACACTTATCAAAACCCACATCAAATTAAACATATGTGTAAGCATTTATTATATGAATATAATAAAAACAAATAAAACACTTAACAGGTTATTGATCGTAAGAATGTTTCTCTGGACATTTCGAATGTTTGCAGATTAAATTAGCAAGATTTCAAAAAGCTTTTCGGGTATTATATTTATTTATTAGATCTTATATATTGCAGTTTTTTCTTCTGAATCTGATTTTACACTAAAAATATTTTATAAACCTTTAAAAGTTTAGACTATATTATTTAAAAGGCTCCTATGATTGGGTCTTCCCTTCGTCTGCTTTATGTTCTGATACCAAAAACAGAGTAAGGCCCTTTTTCAAATACATGTTTGTATGTTCGTGTGTCTGTTCAACATTTTTTACATCGCTAAAATACTTTTTTTAATTCAATTCCTCATACATATAACGCGGTGATCGATAGAGACATGAAGATGTAACAAGCAGTCTTATATTCCTATTTAAACATCCACGTGAGGTTCCATTCCCGTAACATCTGTACAGAAACATATTGCCGTTCCGGTCATTAACTTATTTATAACTGAGATAGCAATATTTTTTGTATAGATGTTCAGCAGTGTACACTTACGGTAAGTGCAGTAAAGAGAAATTCGCGTTAGTTTTACCGAATAGGTTTGTAAAGAATGTTGTGTTTGGCCATGTTAACCGTGTCGTCCGCGTGACATACCGTGTTAAAACACGTAGCGTAGGCGCCGGTCGCTGACCTATCGATCAAATCTACAATACATCCACCACACTACATCTTTACATCATTTACATAACCTGACGAAGTCAACATCGACTAAGAATTTAGACAAGTTCAACAAAATTTATATTTATTTCTATTTCTCTAATAGCAATGTCAATGACCGACTAGCAATTTTTTTAGGTTTCCAGTGACATAAGAATTATGCAAAATTTCTAACCGAATTTCCCGTTTTCTGTTCCTGTTTTTACTATTTAAATGTTTTACATAACATCCATTGTAGTGTTACATTAAGAATTTTCTTTGCTGATTTTCTATTATATGTTTGTCTAATGCATTGTGTTCATATTTCTCTGGTATGTAAAGAATACTTCATGTTTCTGTGTATACGATCTAGATGTTAAATAAAGAAAACAACTGCCACCGTAAAACATAAGACTGTTGTTATATTTTTTTATAAATTGCAATAAATATCATTTAATTATCTTGTTACCGAAAATTAAAGAGATGTCAAAATAAAAAGTTTTACAATGTAATTATTTTATAAAAATAAATAGGCACCGGGCCTATTTATTTTTTGTAATGTGTAGACATCCAATCGAATTATTGTGATTAATTTGCGTCAATGAACTTTAAAATAACTGTTTAATGAAACGATTATCAACTATCATAAATTTGATAGTTTGATTATAAATAAAAGCCAGTTTTTTTTATCTAAAATTGCGGCTAATTTTTTATTGAATCTATTTAACGAAACATAAATGCTCTGGTTTTAATAAATTACTTTTAAACGCCTGCTAGTACATTGACTCGTGTGAATCGAAAAACAAGACGATTTGCATACAGACATCTGAGGCAGGTAGACGAAGCAGGGAGCGTCGTCATCGACCACTATGGACCTATTTGCATTTGACATTTAGCCAACGATTAGGACTTAAGTTGAACACTTTAATTTTCCTCAAGCCCTTGCCAGATAAGTTTACATTAGTGAGCCCTATACAAAACAAAAAGTAAACGACATATTCAACGCTTTAAACTAATTGGGTATTGAAGCTTATAGTCATAATTTAGTTTTAAATTTTAGGGACCTAAAAATAAACGAGGTTTTATTTACTGAGGGTTAATATAGTCTTGTCTCAAAGTCGAAGAACAGGTTGTTTTGTTTTTGAGGAATGCATCCGAACGAAAATGTATTCCATGTGACATTGTTAATTTGTACTTAGTAAGGCCAGGGGTACGATGTTCCGAACGTCCTTCTCTTGCGCGTGTGTTGCATACAATGTGTCTCATAGTGTTTTATGTTTCTTGTTTCTACTTCCAGGTAATATCTAACTAATAATAAGGCAATCGGTCTATAAAATGCATTTTGCAAACGGATATATTTTTTTAAATTGCCTTTTTTTATATCGTAAGGTGGCAAACAAGCGTGCAGCCACCTGAAATCGCTGAAATAGCGAAGTGACCGTTGCCCATAGACATACGCAATTGCATATGCGTTGCCTACCTTTAATCGACGGAAGAGAGGATGCAGAGAAAGAAAATATTTTACCTTTCCATGTATCCTCTCATCCGGAAAGTCAACTTCCACTTCCCTCCTTTCCTTATAAGTAAAAGAGTGAGAAGGGAAGGGGGTGCCTATAGACTTAACACCATTTTAATATTCATGAAACATCCAGAAAACACATATTGAACTTTAAATCAACAATAACAAAACGAAAATACAAACTGCGTTTTTAATTTTAATATAATACCATAAAGTTTATTATAAAAAAGAAACATTGACATTCTCATTGACATTTTGTTATGTGTTTACTAAATATCAGGTGCATTGTGGAGGCTTCAACAAGATACCTAATGGCCCAAAATTAAGTTTGGATTTCCTTGTGCGACTTTAGTGCATCATAAAAATGTTATGCATCAGAAATGAGCCAACACGTTATAAATAAAATGCACTGACAATAAATTTTCTGTTGTAAAACTTTGCAATGAATTCCCAATAAAAATGACACTTATTCTAATATAGACCTTTCGATTTCAAGTATAATAAAACATGTACTTTTTTGTTTTTAATAAGTTCTTCTGATTATGTCAAACCTAACGTTAGACCGTCGAGTACATTCTTGATTTTGAATAACAACAAATGGCTTTTTTAAAGGTTGCCAGTCCTATACACTTTTTATAACACTGATATTGGATTTAAGTGATCTAGCATTTTGTTGATCTGTGGTGAGATGTTAATGGCACAAATCTTTTAAGTAAAACATTTTTTTTCGTATTATTGTAAAAACTGATCACTTAGCAAAATATAAATATATCAAAATTGCTCACCTGTAGAATTAAGTTTTGCCCCATAACGGGGAACTCTCCTGTGATTCTCGCACCGCAAATTAATTTTTATATCTGAAATTGGAAATAAAAAAAAATACATAATGATATCCAACATTTAGATTTTTTGACTAAACAATCACAATTTTTTTATTTAAATTTAGTTTATTTGAATCAAAAAGCAAGAATTTAAGAACATTACCTATAAATAGATTAAAAAAAATAGTAAGCACGGGATGCAGTGCGTCGTATGTAGAAGTGCTATCGTACGTGTGACGACTGCGCTTGCGCCGGTCGCGTTTGGCGTGATACTGAGCGGGAAGCGCGCGCGCCTCCCGGTGTTAATACCTCGGTGTCATCAGGCCTCGCAGCTCCTACGAGTGTGTGTCATATACCATGACCATGTGTGCCATGTATCGAATTCGGGTACAGGTCTATCCTTCGAATATAATATAGTCAAATTTTAACCGGTCCCCCAATCGATTTTAGCAATACCTTTCTGCAAATTTTCATTTTGCTTTTAATATTATCGATTCTGTTGCCAATAAAAAGGATTTATACTAAAAATCTTTCAAATTTTATCATAATTTTTAAGAACAAAAAAAAAAGGTAATAATTAGGACCTAATTAAGGAATAAAGAAATCATTCGCTATCCCTTTTTCTTTAGCCGACTTCAAAAAGAAGGAAGGAATCAATTCGTCTATTTTTTTTCTTTTTTATCGTCTATTATCAAGGTATATTTGTCTCGAATCGAATCTCCAACCTCAGGCGTAATAGCCACCACTCCAACTACTAAGCCAGAGGGGTTTATGAGATATAAATTAATTTGTGGTCGAGTCAATATTCGTTATCCGTATGACAAATCACGTAAGTTTTGACACATTTGTTAACTATATAATCTTTTAATATTTATTTTTAAGACTTTTAAAAAAATTAAAAACTAAATTCAAAATCATATTAAATGGAGATACTCTATCCACTCTACTAGAATTTTAAAAGGGACTCGAAATGAGTCAATAAAATAATTTATTATTTTAGAACTTATTAGTATATTATATTTCCTGTCAAATCCTATTTATTTATTTTAAAGGATACATAATTCTGACATTTAGACGAAATTAAGATTATCTAAATAATATCCGCGATGCAATTCTTTTTTTAAAAAATAAGTCAATTTCCTATCATCAAATCAGATATAATAATTATTTTTTATCTGTTAAAAAACAATTGCACACACAAATTCAGTAAAGGTGTCCAGTATCAACAACTTGTCGCTCATACATTTAAAGGCACTATCTTTTTATTTATGCGCAACAAATAACTAATTTAATTTACTTAATATTCGACAGTGTTAATTACATTTTGTTACTTTTTACTCTTTCTTAATGTTTGAGTGATGTTTCCCCACGGATTTTGCAAAATCAATTAACAATGACAATATGTAAAAAATAGGCTAAATCTATTTAATAATAAATTTAGTTGTTTAAGACAACTTTTACTTCGAAAGGTCAAAAATGCAGCATGACAAGCGTTAGTAAATGGCAAAGATCACTTTTTATGGAAGGAATTTAGGCATGCATCAAAATATATATATGTACAGGTACAATTTAAAATGATGCAGGCATCACTCAATCAAAACTTATTCGTTTTATATACATTTGTATGCTATTAAATTTTATTCTTTCTGTGCGGAAAAAATAAAATAAAATAGGAAGAAATTAGTAAAATATTTGAATGCATTTTATGACTGCGCTTTACGAGTTAGTTATGCTTATTAAGAAGTGGCATTTGTTTCTTGTAATAAAAAAGATTAGCTTCGAATTATTTTAATAATAATTAAATTCAAGCTAATAGTAGTGATTATTAATTAGACCTGAAAGCTACGGAGAATCAAAACTCGAGATATAGTCAAGGAAAGTATAATTTCTTTAGCACAGAGTCATCCTAAGACTTTATATAGTATTTGAGGAATCGCGGTACAGAATTCAGATCAAATGTGATCTAGAGTTCGAATCTTACCGTACGGTTATTAACGTAAAGCCATATCCTAGCACAAGCCTAACTAGAGCTTAGTTGGAATGCTACAAGCAATATTACTAATTAAAATAAATCAACTAATATTTTTCCATAAAAACTTTAGTACGTTAAAATCGTAACAGCATAAGGGATAATTAATTAGTCCATTAATTTAGATATGCGTATAACTGCTGAAATACTTCAAAACAATAATTTTTTGTTACTTAAGGTCGCTCAAAGACTGAATCGAGTCCCTCCTAACGTCCATAAAAACTCCGCTCCAAAATACGGCATAAAAAGCGATAGATGAAGAGCAATTCTAACCAGTCAATGAATAATAAATATAGTTACCTGAGATGATATTTATGATTTGCATAGAAACAATGACATATTTAGTGCGAGCTATAATTTATTATACTTAATACAGAACACGATTTATTAAAGGTACCTATGCCGGAGAAGCAAAAAAGTGTGGGTGATTCGACATTGGTGTTTTGTAAATATTCTTAGAACAATGTTTTATATAATGTATTACATGACTTTTAAACACATAAGTTTTTTGTAGATTTATTAAATAAATTGGTTGTGTAAATTACAAATTGAATTATTTCGTTATTTCTTTGAATTTTCTTTTTGCACAAGAGACTTATTATAGGTATTAAAATTTAAAATAATCAGTGTTAATAAAATGTTAACTTACATCCATATTCAAGATCACCAAAGAGGTACAACAAGACAGACAAAAAGCGACCAACAAAAAATATTAATGTCAAATATTTACGGTCGGATGATATTTTACGACTATGAGATTTCTATTTTTCGATCGATTGTCAACAATTAAAAAAAACATGTCCAATTACTTATATAATATATTATATGTTTTTTACTTACACTAATGTAAAATTTTACACTAAAACAAACACACTGAAACTATGTAAAAGCGCACTACATTGACTGTCATGGATGAACACAAAATACAACTGGAACAAACATATTGTGACTAACTGTTGCCGTTCTGTTTTGAAGTATGGTTGTGTTGAAGTAGACCACTCTTGCTGGCTACGTGGTTCCGCAGAAGGCACGAGCTGTCACTGTTTACTATGCAAGAAACGTATCATCCTTTCTTACCGCCAATGTCACGCATTGTTTGTCGTATCACCGTCCCTGTCACTGACTAACTGTACTCCTAAGTGGACCCTGAAATTGGTAATGCCCTTGTTTTGGACTTGACTTAGCATCTGGCCTAGACAGCCGGACATCTGAATACAGTGTAAATCCATAGGTAGACTAATATCTATGGTTATGAGACATTTTTAAGTATATTTCAGGATGAAAGTTCGAAAGTGGATCGGTCGTTTGCATTTGTGTTATGCGCTGACGAATATGTGACCCCATGACCAGATTTAACTTATTATATTTTCTAATTACAGTCGAAAGTTTTTCCTTTATCGCAGCTTGCAAATAATCTAATTTTAACATTATAATAGCGAAAACGGAGATTTAGACGTCGTTTGAGCTAAGTCCTTGGAAGCTGGCTTAATGGATCTTGCTGAAATTCGGCACAGATGTAGAACATAGTTTGGAAGAACACATAGGCATAATTTTTAAGTTTATAGATTTATATTTTCTTATTTATTAAGAACTACTCTTTATTTTTTGTGGATGTTCTATATTGTGTTACGTACATTTAATTTAGTAGAGAATTGCCTAATAAAACGTTACGATGAATTCCAGTTTTTGTAAAATGTTAAAACGGTAAAATTGTAACCGACAAACAGATATTTTGAATATTTAACACACGTCCGATGAAATCACTTTTTATTCTTAAAAAAAAAGTTTAAAACACATATAAACATTTTTTGTGTTTTATTTTTACAATTAAACTAATTCATGGAATAGGATGACAATTGTTACTATATAAATATTATTATATTATACAGAGTAAAAGATTGAAGGTAATTACCTCAACTAACTTCTAACTTGGACACCTTTTAACAATCGAAAATGGGAAAATGAATAATTTTAAATTATTAGATTCTAAATATTTACTATTAAAGTAATAAATACATAATATATAATAATAATACATGGGACGTTTCGATTACCTTCACAGGTAACTTGAGGGCAAGTAAAATGACGGTCGGAATTAAAGTTGGAAATAAAGTTAAGACAAAGACAAAAAGCCATCAGCCATGTTTTTGCCATAATAATTTTACACTGTCAAAATTTTAATGCATATATGTAGGTATTAATAACACTTAAGTAGCTTACCTTGGAAGTAGTCGAATTGATCTTAATGTAAATATCTTGCAATTACGTCGTTTAAGTGCGCAATGAGTACTAGTGCACTAGTATCCATGAAATGCTTGCATTCCAACAGGGACCTGTTTTAATAGGTCATTTTATCGAAAACAATGGTTAGTCAATACTATGAGGACAACTGACCTTAAACTTATTGCGCCGCGGAGCGTATGATTAACAGACCAAATTAAAAGAATCTCAAGAAAAATCAACAAAGGGATGGTTAAAAGTTACTAGAGAATTTTGGAGGAAATTAGAGCACTAATTTAGAATAGGGTCAACCGTCTTCGTTTGGATATGTATGAGCTGACGAGTATATAGACTTCTAAAAAGAAACTCTGTTTTTACTAGTTGCCGCCCGCAACTTCATCGGCGTTGAATGAAAAAAACTGAGTGAATATGAGAGCCTATTCGTTACTTCAGAGAAGAATCTACATATGTAAATATATTTGTTCTAAATTTTATCCTGATCAATTCAGCCGTTGTGCAGTTAAGTGGTAATAAATCCATCTTACCTTTCGTATTGATAATATTTGTGAGATTTAAAAGGGATAGTAACCACGATGTAAGGAGAAATATATCATTTGATTCTTATTATTTACCAGTAAAGTAGAGATAGCATTTGACCCGATACAGGTGAAAAAGATAAGTTATTTTTATATAATCTTAAAACTATTAGAGTTAATATTCTTGGCTCTTTGAACATTTGATTAATCATTATTGTTTTTTAGAGTCATAATTCTTGGAAAGTTGACACAAAGGTACACACGTAAATATAATCTGTTCAGCGGTATATTTGTCATACGATCAACCTGCGAAACTTCATAACTCGTTTTAAGGACGAATAAATGATACCTGATAACATAAGAATTTTAAGATACCAACGGAGCTTGGCCTAACAAGACCATTCCCAAAAATAATAAAAAGGTGCTTAGTGAATAAAATAATTTTAATTTGACTACAAATTGAACGCAAAACTGACGCATTAGTAATGTGATTTAAAT